ACCACTTCTCCCCCCCCCCCCCCCTCCCCCCTCTCCCTCTCCGGCCAATGCACTATTGCTTTGCTGTATTTACACCTGTCCTTGGCTTCTTTTCTACTATCTTTTTCCTGTTCCATTTTTGTCCTCTTCTTCTTCCGCTCCGTCATCACCATCGCACCCACCTTGCAGTGTTTTCTGCACATTTCTTTCTCATATCATCACCATTTTCTCCTCGTCATGGCGGATGTACCATGAAAAGTTCACCATCGTAATTCCACCACCACTGCTCTTCATCCTCCTTCTCAAGCCACTAGAGTATTCTCGTTACTCTGATATCCCTAAACTTCACCCTTGCTTGTTTCCTCTACTCCTGAACGAGTCATATATCTCATCATTGTGATCTCGTTTTCCATCGGATTCTCTTCGCCGACCTACTGACATAATTCTTGAAGGACAGCGATGGCGGGAGTGAAGCGGAAAGTTGACGCCTCCCAAGGGTCTGCTGCAGCGGTATCAGGTGGTAATTCTACAGCACTTGGTGCCGCACACAGCACACCTAGTAAGTCTACGATTGCATGCTACCCAACAGCGCTTCTAACCCGGACCACAGATTCTACTGCTGATGATGCATCTCACGTCCGCGTAACTCGAAGCTTACGTTCAAGTCGAGATGTGCGTGCTACTCAAAATGATGCTCGTAATCACAGCAACGCTTCTGCCATGAGCGGAAGCAGCGGCAGCAACAACAGCAACCACAACAACAGCAACAGCACCACTTATAAGCCTAATCCTAATCGCCCATCGCGTATCATCACTCTTAGCACTCGTGTCGCTCGGGCAAACACCGCAGCCCGTGAAAGCGAACAAGCAGCACGGGACCAAGCTCTTCGCGAGAACGTAACTCGTGAAACGCGCAACACTCGGACTCGTGCCAGTGCTTCGTGGCCTTCGCAGCCAGTAGAAGGCGTAGTGGCACCTATGCCTGAAACCCCACGGCATAAACGCGTGAAACGGGGCCCCACGGTGGAAGAGACACCGAGAACCACGCGGCAATCGGCGCGGCTCAAAGCACATGTTCCACCCACCTCGACAGAGGATGGGATAGCTGATATAGGTCTGATGCCGAAACCTTCGGAATCAAGCCCTTCAGCAACCACTGCTCCAAGTAGCCGTACTCGAAACAAGAGCCGGCAATGGGCAGACAGTTCCAATGACACCATTCACAGTGGCGCCACCAATCTTATCACTCCTGCAATCCCTGAGGCTGAATCGCCCTCACCCGATCGGACGACCCTCGACTTTGTGGAAGATACGAAGCCTCTCTACGAAGAGCCTCACCTGAGCCCGAAGCTTGCTATTGAGGAATCACCCAAGGGTACAGTGGTCGAGGATGAGAAGAACGGGGTTAGTGAACCAGCACTTTCTGAAGCTGATGATTCTGTCGATGCTCCAAGTACCCCTAGTCCCCCATCTTCCTGGAAGCGAAGATCACCCGGACTTTCACAGCATAACGGAGCTGATTCCGAGAACTTTCTCGAGTCACCCAGCAAAAAGCCTAAGCTGGAAGAGGGCGAATCTTATCGTGTTTTGGAGCAGCAGTCACAGCCCGTTACCAATGGCCTCAACGGCAGACCTGAATCGGAGTCTCTTGTAGAGGCTGCAACTGAGTCGAAAGCCGATGGTCAGTCCCGGCATATTACAGAGGAAATAGAGGGCTCGACACCAGAGATTGTTACGGAGCCTACAGCTACTCGAGGTTTCCGCGGTGGTCGGGTTCGGGGTCGAGGGCGAGGGGGCCGCAGCAGGGGAGCCGCGCGCTTTGCAGCCAACAAACGAGGACGAGGTGGTACTCGTAGCGGCCGCGGGCGTGCTGGCCGACAGCTTGACAGATCAAGTGATGTCGAGCCTGACCGCTCTCCTTCTCCCAGTGCAGCAACTCAGAGACTCCGTGATCGACAGCGTGAGCTGGATAAGGCATTCAAGAAAGTGGCTGCCGCTCAGCGTTTGGCTCTGGCAGTGCTGGCAACGCAATCTGAGAGACGAATCGCCCGAGACAAGAATGCACACAAGGATGTGCCCGAATTTGAGGAAGTTAACCAACAACTACAGGAGCGGCTGCGGCAGAAGAAGGATGTACTCCGCAGAGAATTCGAACTTAAAGTGGAGCAAGAGAATCGGTTGTTCCAAGCCTATAGAGAAGTAGTCGAGGAGCGGTTTCAGGTGGGTTTCATATGCCAAAGCATCCAGTCAGCATTCAAGGGAAGTCTACTAATTACAGCAGGCATCCGCTCGCAATATCCGGGAGGAGCATTTGATCGCAAGTCAGGGAGCATACATGACATTTGTAAGAGGCCGTCGTGCTGCGGAAGATGATGAGCACACCGAGGTAAGTGGCCTTGATGGTGCTGATACACTCCGTCAAAATGTCTATATGTTAATATGTAGCATATGCTGATCAACATCCATAGACGGACGATTCAGAAACCGAGCCCGAGCGGGGGCCAGTTGTGCCACCTGCGCGGGAAATTTTCAGAGGGTTCAATTCTTCTTACGTTCGGGTTCCCTCCGGAGCTGCTGCCTACGAACGGGCCTGGCTTGGCTGGGATGATTTCGTTCAGCGAGCTAAAGTAGGCGAAGACATCGACCCGCAAATGAAGGAAATGTGTGAATCAGGGCCCTTCTCGGGCTTTACCTCGGATGAGATTATCGACATGCTCGTGAAGGCAACTGGGGTAGTGGATGTACGAACAAACGCAACAACGGCAGGGGAGATGCAGCCCCCGGTCATACATGATATACGCCCTCGAGCATTATCGGCCTTGGCGGATATCGCAGCCGCCGAAACTCCTCGGCCCCCTATCGCCGCTGCTCCCCGATTTCCGCCTGCGCCCCCCCATCGAACCATTCTCCCCCAACCTGCTCTGGCGCATGGTCCTCCTGAGCCTCGGGCCTTTGTCCTTCCCCCGCCCACTCCTCAGCGACAACAGCCCCGACGACTGCTCCCTGCCGGTCAGCAAATCCCGCCCATCAATGAGCAACTCGGCCTACCCGATCCATTTGCCTCGATGGGAGGACCGCCCCATCTTCCTCCACCGCCAGGATCGAATTTCCACCGGCCTCCGCTTCCTGGTTACTTGACTGGACATCATGCTCCAAGTCTCTATTATCCCCCTCCGCCACCACCCCCACCACCTGGACCCCGTCCACCTTATTAAGAGGCGCAGAATCTGTTTCTAGGCGTTGTTCCTCAGTCGGTCGCGGCGTCATACAACTGCTTTACTGATGATCTTTCCTTCCTTTGCGGATGTGTGACGGAGGCTTCTGACTTATCTTTTTACTTCCTTTCTTCTTACTTCTTCTTCGTTGAAGTAGATCATATTACCTTGGATTGTCTTGGATTGTCTTGGATTGTGCTGGGAATCGGGACCTGGGACTTGGGACTTGGGACTTGCAGAGCGATTTGAAATTTGTCTTATTTAGCAGTCACGGAGGATTCCCCTTAGCCGTGTAGTTCCGCGTTTGTTCTAATTTACTGCTTCACGTTTGATCTTCAATTTCAAATGAAATGCTCACATTTTCTAATCAGGATGAATCATGATGGGTCATAATGACTCGACCACGAATGACTCTGTTTGGCCGTGTTTGGCCGCCTTCAGAACTCCGCCTCCCCTCTCCTCCCGATTGGGCCTAGCCCGGCGGGGCGGGGCATTTCGGCCTCGAAGCTTTTTATTTCCTCGTGCTTTTCCTTCCCAGTCGCCATCACTTTTAAGGCTGCCCATCCTTTGCGAGTCCGACACTGCAGTCTCTGAAGTCGAGAGCAATTACCCTTTTCGCTGCTATTTCTCGAAGCCTGCATCCTCTTTTTCGAGTGTCTTGCCGCCGCCTCACAACCTTGCAATCCCACTCGACCGTCAGCCCCGCCTCGCGCGCCCATTGTCCCTCCTCGACCTTTTGTCAGACTCAGCGAAGCGTTTCGACTGATTCACTTTCGGTTGCAAATAAAAGCCATCCAGGTTTCATCATCATCATCATTACGACCAGCGAATTCGTGTGCGACTAGACGAAGTAATCATGGCTGTCCGTGCTCAATTCGAGAATTCCAACGAGTAAGATGGACCCGGGCTACGCATGTGCAACTGCGCACTGCGCTTCGATTATTATATGCCAGTCACGAGCTTGGAAGATTGCTGACTGTCATCAAAGCGTTGGAGTCTTCTCTCGCCTGACCAACTCATACGCCATTGTTGCCATTGGCGCTTCCGAGAACTTTTACAGGTGCGTTCTTCTACTCTCAAGTTTTGGGCTGGCCGCTTGGCATGGACTTTGTCCACTGACTTTTTCGCTAGTGTCTTCGAGGCTGAGTTGCAGGATGTTATTCCTATCTGCCACGCTACCATTGCTGGTACTCGCATTGTCGGTCGTTTGACGGCAGGGTATGTCAATCCCGTTGTCGGGGAAGTGGCAAACATGGAATCAGATCCTGATCAGAGAGTACTACAGAAACCGCAAGGGTCTCCTTGTCCCCACTACTACCACAGACCAAGAGCTTCAGCACCTCCGGAATACGCTGCCAGATTCGGTAAAAATCCAACGGATAGAGGAGCGGCTATCAGCCCTGGGCAACGTTATCTGCTGTAACGACCATGTTGCATTAATCCACCCCGACTTGGAACGTGAGACCGAAGAGATGTACACACCCCTTCCCATGAGTTTGTGTCCGTTCGATCGTCTGGCATCTGCTAACCGTCGCTTCCTCTCTTTTTCCAGTATTGCCGACGTTCTTGGCGTCGAAGTCTTCCGACAAACCGTGGCCGACAACGTCCTGACCGGTTCCTACATGGCCCTCTCCAACCAGGGCGGTATCGTTCACCCCAAGACCTCCATCCGCGACCAGGATGAGCTCTCCTCCCTGCTGCAGGTGCCCCTCGTCGCCGGTAGTGTCAACCGCGGTAGCCCCGTGGTCGGCGCCGGCATGGTCGTCAACGACTGGCTGGCCGTGACGGGTCTGGATACGACGGCGACGGAGCTGAGCGTCATCGAGAGTGTCTTCCGGCTGGGTGAGATGGGTCCCCGTGGTGTCGGACAGGGCAATGCCAACAAGGAGAGCATTGTGGAGAGTTTCTATTAGATTTCCTTTTCTCCTTCATCCTCTACCGCGATCGTCATGTTGTTTATGAAACCCATTCCCATACACATTTTCTAAAATATCCTTATTGTGCCATGAATGACCCTATGAAACACACTTTCGAGTCCCGAGGATTTTCTCAGTTCCACAAGACCTATCCATTTGTAGAGTTTCGAGGAGATAGCCACGAGAGAGAGAGGCGGAATGCGCCGAAGTGAGAACTGTCTTATTCAAATAATGCATGCAACTCACTCTCATGAGAACAGACTATATCTGGTTATTGCGTAGCGTAGCCCCGGGTATAATTGGCATACGCGATCTGCATGCGAAAGACAGGAAGGAGAGAGAGAGAGAGAGAGAGAGAGAGAGAGAGAGAGAGTTGGATATTGGGTAGCTAGTATGCGCATAGATCCAGGTCGAGAACAGCAGTGCTCCACGCCATATTACACACGGTGGGTGGGGAGGAAGAAACCTCCGGGAGTTCAATGCATGAGATAAACTACCGTCAAAGTAAGTTAGACAAAAACCAAGTTCCATCCTAAGCTATGGATTTCATGGAAGCTTCAGCTTGTTTGCACCTTTTGCCTTGGACCCCCCCCCCCCTTCCAGGCTCAGTCTGATCTCATATCCTGGGTGATATAGCCCATGCCTCCCGGAGGAGTCGGCGAGGGGGGTTCCTTCATCGTTCTGCGAGATGGCAAATTGAATCGAATGTGGCTTCACGTGAATAGATTGTTGTGAAGAGGGTATTCATGTAAAAAGGTGAACATGATTGAAGTAAACGATGGTCAAGGTCATGAAAGAAAAATCAAGTAATTGTTGAAAGGTACAAAAAGGAAAGGGAGTATCGCGGGGGGGGGTTTAAGACCAGCCATCAAAAAAGTGACTGTGAAGAAGATTAAAAATGAGCAAAAAGAGAGAAAGAAAAAAAGATAGAATGATGATCGTGGATATAGAGAGAGAAAGAGAGAATAGCGCCCAAGGTCTGCCAACTCCAAAAAACACCGATCTGGATGCTGTTGCTATGAAAACGACATGAAAAAGAAATCCATGGCTGATTGGCAGTTCCAACGGAATAGCGATTGAGCCAACAATTATGGGCCCCGTCCCCGTCCCCGTTCCCGTCCCCGTCCCCGTCCCCGCCCCCCTTGAGATATTGCTATACACGTCCTTCAATGCCAATCTGTGATGTTTGGAACTGATTCCCTTCCCCCTCGTTGTGACGGTCTTGTTCAAGGAGTGGTGGTGGTGATGGAGGGGGAGGAGGCGCAGGGGGCGGAGTGGGCTCGGCGCTCTCTCCCTTCATGTTCGCATCGTCGCCACTCAGGGTCTGTTGCTTATATTCGTCTTGGTCATCTTCCAGATCGTTTCCAGGGCTCATAGGTGGAGGCGGAGGCGGAGGCGGGGTGGAAGAACGTTGTCGTTTGGATGAAGACGGCGTGGTGAAATCGGTCGCGCTGCCGTCGCCGGTAGTCATGTCTTCTTCCCTCTTCCGCTTGAGAATCCCTTGCGTCTCCCCTACTAAAAGCATGTCCATGTCTTCCTCCTGCGCTGGCCCGTCATGGTCGTCTTCATCATCCGACATTCTCACGTCAGGATCATCCTCCGCCGGGCCAGCAGCAGTCGCGACGGCTGGTTTCAAATGTGCTTCCTTTGATTGCCGTTCTGCCTTGCGCTCCTCGTGGGCCCTGTGCTTTACGACAGCCTTATCGAAGAATTCCTTGCAGAAGTTCTTGACTTTCTTTTGCTGCTTTTCATCGATCTTGGTAGGATCTTCGACACGATTGTTCTTGAAGTCCGAGTTGACGAGTTTCTTGGCAACCTGTTATCAGATACTTGGTAAGCATATCAACACAGCATTTACAAACTCGAGACCGGCCTACATCTTTAGCATAACGCTTCAGATCATCTTTGGGAAGCTTGTGCTTGAACTTGTCTACCACGTACTTGACGTGGGGAAACAGCTGTGATCAAATTAGCACTGCGTCTTCCCAATCAATTGAATCAAGGAGCCGATAGTGTAGGAGCAAGAACGAACCGTGTTTTCGTAAATCTTTTTCCGTTTTTCCTCACTCAAACTCCGCCACTTCTCCTGGCCCTCTTTCTGGTCTGGTGTTGCCTTGGAGGTCTGCGGGGTGGCCGGTGTGCCAGATTTTTCCTTAGGTGTAATCTCCTTAGCGTTCATGATACCGTCAATGATATCCTGCAATGCCTTGTCCCGCGATTCCTTCGCTGGCGGGCCTGGTTGGGACGCGGGCACGGTCGGGCGTGTCCAAGTCACCTCACCCCGAGACGAGTAGAAGTATGTCCTTCCGTTAGAATCAGCCGCGAACCATCCCGGAGGAAGAGGGTTAAATTGACGACGGAAGGGCCGAGGTCCGTTGTGGAGGGGACCTCTCGGGATGTGGCCTGCTCGTTGAGCAGCTGGACCGCGAGGTGCGTCAATGGATCTGGACCTTGATCGGGACCGAGATTTGGACCGCCGTCGCTCGTCACGGGTAGTCTCACGGCGCTCGAACTGACTGATCGCCTGCGGCGTGGCATTGGGGTCCCTTTTCATTCGAGGAATGCGGTAGCCTACTTCAAGCGTGGACCAGACCTGTAGCAATATGGCTGCCTTCATCTCGACACGCTCATCCCCGCAACCGGTCAAGGGCTGAATGGTCGACTCAATCTTGGAGTCGAGGATCTTGTTCCTCGTCAGACGTGGGAACCTGTCTAGGATATCCAGAATCTGCAGGACCACGTTGAAATCTTCCTTCCACATGCTGAGTTGTGAATTCAGAATCTGATAGCCATGCATTTTGACCACGCGGTTTGAAACCCGCTCATCTTCACAGCGCTGAATGCGACCCAGTAATTTGACAGCGATCCACTTCTCCTTGCACTGCATCAAAGCAGCCATGACTTTAGTGACCCCATTCTCATCCAGGGATTTGGGCTGAACACTGTCCACATACTCTTCATCATCCTCGCCCATCTTCTTCTTGCGCGGCCGCTTCGCTACAGCTGTGTCCCACCCGTCTGAATCTTCGATACCCAAGGCCTCAATGGTGGCGTGAGATAATTTGGTCGCCCGCTCAGTTTGAGTTCGCCCACCAATGAAGCCAGTGCAGTTGGGTTCTCCACAGTAGCATGGTTGAGGATCGGCTCCATAACGGTCAACATTGTAGTTGAACACAAGTTCCTCTCCAGCTCGGATGTGTCGTTCAGCAAAAATGCCCATTCGCAGCTTCTCCCCGACCACCCATTTGTCGACATAACAATTTGGGTTGCACGAGTGATTGCAAAAACGACCTAGGTTGCCTTTCTTTGTCGCGTCAACGAATTCACCTTTACTGAGAGACATGAAGTAAAAGTGCTTGATGCCCTCCTCATCATATTGTCGCATACGGCGGCGAAATTGCCCTTCGTTGATAACTTCGCCCACATACTCGAAGATAAACTGATGCGGTCGCAAATCGGCCTCCGCGCGAAGACCAAACCCTTTCTTTTCTGTCTTGATCACTGCCACCGGGGCATATTCTCGTTGTTGGAAGCGCTGGTTCTGGCATGCTGGCCCGCAACCGCAGTCGCCCATACATTCGATTTTTGTGGCGCGGTTGATGCAGTCCGAATCCTCCCCACAAGCCAAATTCTTAGCAATCGCGGGTTCTGCCTCAAATTAGTGCGTCTTCACTTTGCGAGGGCGGAAGAAATGTAAAGAAACAGCCTTCTCCATATTTGTGCATGGCTTCAACATGGAAGATGAGGGGGGCAAACAACAGGCAATGGTTTGGTGTGGTGTGCTTGAATTTCCCAACATGTTTGAGGCGGGGATCCGAAATGCAACGCCACGCGTGGAAAATCGCCCACGGGAACAAAAGCAACAAAAGGCGACAGAGAAAAAAAACGGTGGAACGAGTATGATCGAAGGAATGAAGAAAGTGAGTACTTACCCCATTCTTCCGCGCAGTCGCATTCCATCGCATGCTCAGTATAGCCCATGTACTTATTGGCATATGTGCAAGCATCCATAACCTCAAAAGTCTCCTCTGCCTGCGCCGTGCTGTTCGGCAGATGTAAAAATAGCTGTGGTGGTCTTGCCGCAACCTTTTGCGAGGAACTTCGTGTCAATTTGGGAGGCTGGCCCGGTTCGAGTTTGACCGAGATGTCACCTCCAACTTTTTCCTCCATGTTGTCTGGCTGGGCCGTCTCCGTGGCTTCAAACTTTGCTTCGTCGCTGACTTGGTTGTGATCGTAATCGTCCTCCGGCTCATTCTTGACCGGCGACCGAGAGGTAGGCCGCGAGGTTGACTGAAATGCCGACAGCGCGTAGGTGTCCTTGGGACCTGCAAGAGAGGAGGCGTCCGAGGCCGCGTCGAAGTCGTGCTTGCTCATGGCTCCGGCGCCGTTGAGTATCGGAGTATCGGGAGTTGCGTCAGGGTCTAGCTTCATCGCGGTCACCGCATTCGCGACGGGTTCTGACTGACGGTCCGCGTTGTCATGAGGGGACATGACGACATGGACGGTGCGCGCAAATTATCAGAGCCAGCTGGGGAATGCGCTGTTATTTGATCGGTTACCAGCGCGTGGTGGTTGGTGAAAGAGGGTGTTCTGGATTGCGGAATAGGTACCGTAAAAGAAAAGAGAAGAAGGGAGTCTCGAGGATGAGATACAAGGTGGGCAAAAAAAAGATAAGAAGAAGAAGAAGAAGAAGAAGAAGAAGAAAAACAACCAAATAAGAAGGATAAGAGGCTCAAAGGAGGGTTTGCAGGCAGGCAGAATAATTGGTGCGAGAAGAGCAGGAAGCAGCGAAAGTCGCAAGCCGAAGCAGCAAATCGTCCACGTTTTCTGCGGGTGCCAAGAATCATCGATGAATCGAGGACTCAAGCAATGTAAGGGAGATCTCTAAACAATGGCTCTCTCATTTTTCTTCTGGCACACGATATCTCTCTCCTTCTATCTTGTGCCTTTTTCATTTTCTATCAATCCTAGCAAACAAAAAAAGGCACCCGGGTTACAAGGGGACCTCTTCGTCTACCTCCCTCCCTACCCAACCTTCCAACTTCATCTTGAACCATTCGCCATCTTCTGGGTCCATGCAACACACACACTCTGGAGAGACAATCTCCCTCAGTTTCTTTCTTTCTTTTTTTCTTTCATTCCTTATTCTTTCACGGTCGATTTCCTTCAGAAGATCAAGACAATTCCTCTGAGCTCGTGCTCCCAATAATAAGATGAGATCAACGAGCAACACTTTCATGTTCCTGCCGGACAAGCCGAGCTCGTTATGCGTGCTTCGAGCGCAACAATCTTTTCACATAGTGCTCTTACAGGGCCTCATGTTTTGTTTTCCAGCCATCTAATAGCATCGGTAGTTATCCTGACGAGATCCATGCTTACTCAGGCTCCTTCATCAGCAGCAGCCTCTCTACTCCAGGGCGGTCGATATCGGACCCTGTTTCGACTGTCGACATGAACAGCCAGGGGCTGATCGACTCTCCCACTATAGCCATTGGCAGAAGCACCAGTGCATGGTGCATATGCCATCCAGTTATACTCGGCTCTGCGCTCCCTCTCTCTGGTGCAGAAAACTGTCAGCATGCAATAACTCGAAGCTGAAGCGAGGATTCGCTTTGTAGAGTAGGATGATCATTTTTAAGGTGTTAGAGCCAGCAATAAAGACTGACACATGATGAAGACATGCCAGGGACGAATCACGGAGCAGAAAAGGGATATATGCATTAACAGGAACTCAGACACAAATGTGAAGACAATTGTGCTGGAGTGAAAACCTTGTAAGGTGATACACAAGAGGTCAACGGCATTTGACCCCATTGAGAGTGGCCTGAGGTGGTTGGAATGAGAATTCTTTCCGCGAGCTGAAGTCTTCCATCCGCATCCCGAGAGGCGGAAACGCTACGAACTCGTGGTCAGTACTTTAAGAGAATAACCAGATGAACAAGTGGAGAGGGATGGTAATACCAGTACATGAAAGATTTGGTGGCCTCCTGGGCTAGAGCTATGTGTACAGTACAGTACCTAGCTGCAGAGAATTGAATTGAACACCGATCACCCAACCAAGTGATGGCTGGCTTTTGCGTGGGATGGCACCATAGGCCACGAGAAGTCCAAACCATCAGTGCTAGGGCTGTAGCCGGGTCTTGCTTCTGCAGCTCACTGCCTTAGGTCGGAAGGGGAGCGTAGGGAGCAGGGGTTCCCTCTTACGCACTAGAGAGGACGTGTCAAGTATCAAATACTCCGTCTCAAGTATGCAGTGGAGGCCGTGGGCGACAAGGTGGGTTAAAAGCCCCGAGAGGCGTCAGTCCCGAGGGACCTATCAAGCTTAACGCTGTTCTCCCGTCCTTCCGGAGACCTTTGATGTTCTCATTCTTCCGGTGCCTTCAATGGGCGGTTAGCGATTGGAGGGAATCGGGTCTTGACCTGGCGCATCGTGCACCGTTGCTCGATCTGTAAATATGCTGACCACCGGTGAGAGCAGGTCTCAGGTGTCAAAAAGAGTTGGTGACTGATTTACTTGTTAGATTTTAGAGCGTTGATTAGTAGTTGATGTTAGTCTGTCAGTCAGCAGCCACGTGTCAGTGAGAAAGGATGTTACCATAGTTGACCGGACTATTGTAAGAAATGGAAGGAGAAAGAGTGCTTACTGCTAATTATACTTGATCAAGGAAATCAACACCGGCGGTAGTCTATTGCAATGCAAACATGCATGAACTGATGTTGTTTCGCGAGAGAAGGTAGCGTCGTAGTGATAGATGGATGGATGGAGGGAGGGAGGGAAGGAGGGGAAAGAGTGGAACGGAAACAAGTTAGACTCCTAGGCTCCGCCCTAGTATTGCCGGACCACCGAAAATGGAATGACGCCGGTGTCAGGTATTATTAGCATCCGAATCGATCGCGTCCTTGAGATTAATTGTTTCTACATAGACTACTGAGTAGTATAAGTATCAACTATAGTCGAATATGAAATACTACTGAATATCGATTGGTCGTCCCAGTTGGCTGGTAACTGACCCAGCCGGAAAAATGCCACTACAGAGATATTGACAATGTACTGTATGTACTGTACCTAGAGTACAATGTTAGCGTACAAAATTACGGACACTATGACAGTTGATGGCCCAGCCCTAGGAGAGAGATAATGGTTCACTGAGAAAATCAATGCAGGTAAATGCCCAATTAGTAAGTAGTACGCATGTGAATTAGTCTTGATGTATGATACACTACCCAAGCATTTAAATTTGATCTCAATGTGTTCCTTCGCACAGGCCAGCTCATACTCGTACCAAGTATTACCAGCAGCGTGCGTGCTGAGATTGACTGCAACCCATAGGAATCTTTCCTGTCCGTCTGGATTTTTCTCCGAATGGTAACTTTACTTACATGAATAGTTAGTTTACTTACTAGGTTACTATCTACGTACTCCGTGCTTTCGTACTAGTAGTACTACGGTACAAGCGCAACGGGTACCTGAGATGTGGGGCTGCCACGGTCTTTTTCCACCTGCCAACAAAGACACCGGTACCTTCACGGCGGGTACCGGATACCGTACACGGTACTAGACTACTGCTCCGTAAATTCAATTGCGCCACAGGTTCCCGTGGCCTCCCCCCTCTCTTCTCTTCCCTCCCGGGGCTCTTTGTTCATCCTTTCCCTCTTGGACTTCTCACTCTTTTACTCCACCCTCTGTTCCTCCCCCTCTGCCTCCTCAACCATCTATTGGCTCGGTTTAAATTTCAGTCCATCAGAGAAAGGTGGTGTTCTTTTTCTTTCTCCAACACCGTTTTGCAAGTGGCTGAAAGCTATGAGGTTGAAGTATTTGAAGTAGGGGGCCAAACACCCCCCTCCCCCAAAAGACCCAGTTTCAACGCCACGCAGGACTACGGTACTATAAGCAGACTACGTTTTGGACGGTTGATTCGAATCGGCGGGGCCTTGCTCCCTCCTGCGTGCATGGTTCTCGTGCATGGACCATTGTCAGTCTCAATTAGACATCACGCTGCAGAGTACAGGCCATCCTCGCTTTCGATTCAGTGGCTTCCCCTCCCACAGCGAGTAAGAACTCAAGACTTGCTGCTTGTTTGGTTCATCCGGTCATAATTGACCCGTCGATTCATCCCGTCAGTGGCAAGATCGGCTGTTCCATTCGCAAGACGCTCCGTCGATGGGCGAGTAACTAGTAGTAATAACACGCTACTACTACCCACGAAAAACTTGCAGCTCAAGCGCAGCGGCATGCGTCGAACTTGCCCCGTGGGCAAATATCATCGCCCGTTCGCTTTACAGTATATCTTCCTGATGGATTTCGTCCCTGCGCGCCCTGTCTGTTACTTAGTGGACGGGATGGTAGGTATGAAACCAACAGTGCCAGCAGGAAGACCCCAACCACACCTCCCCCTCCCCTTTCCTTTCCTGCACGATACTATAATATTATATTTATGTCATTCACTCCAAACCTTTGGCTATTTCCAACGGAGGACCCCAACGGAGGACCAGTACAGCTCTTTTACAATGAGTATTGCTTACCTTTACTCGCTTCCCTTTACATGGTTTCCACCTTCACCGTGACTTATCTAATTTTCTTCGATGGGGGCAGCCTTGTCCCACCCAATGTTATCATACATGACATATACTGCTTGCTTCCACCAAGCTTGACAGACTGTCCGGGTCAAAATCACTACCATGCTTGGTGAAGAAGAGAAAGAAAGAACGACGGAGAGAGAGCCAAGTAGCAACTTATCCCGGTCTGGCTGTTTCGGAACATCCTTGCAGTCTTCGTTCCATTGCTTTTTGCACTAACGAGACCCATTTATTTACCCAGCCTCCAGGATTTTGCTCCTCGTCTGCGCCTATTGCGGAGCCTTTCCCCCCACTTTGCGGTTATCAAGCACCTCCGCCGCTATCCAATTTCTGCCAGTCATTGCGGTGTGCATTCCCGCTATCATGAATAAGGCCAATGCACATTCTTGCATGCGCCGCAAGCACGCCAGAAGTCCATGTTCACAGTACGCGGGCCTCCAGACATGGATAATGACCATGGAAGCTCGCCCTAGCTAATCTTCTACAAGTTTTCGACTTGGATATCATCTTCCTGGGAATTGTTGCTTCCAGTACCCGGTCCACTCTCTCGACCGACCCAGCCCATCGGTGCGTCTGGATGCTTCCACGGTAATTCGCTTATCATGCACGCTATGGAGACCGTACTCCATCCTATGAGAGGGGTCTTCTCCGCCCCAAAGGTTGACTGAACCTTTGGTCTAGAATGGCAAGCTTCTTCGCAGTCCACAGCCGTGGCTTGACGCTTCTTCGCGCCTATTAACCACCGTCTATTTCCACGGTATTTCTCCAATCCACAAACAAGGCTTTAACTTTGGTTCCATCCCGTAGTCAGGGCGTACAGCAGTAGTTGCAGGCTGTTGTCGCATTACTTCTTCACGCCGAGCCCGGCTAGGTCCTGTGCCCCCTACACTCTCACCCGGCCAGGTTCCCATGGTGTCCCAGCAACATGCATCCATAGCTCTTTCCCTATGCTCTGTCGTGCCCCTTCTGGCCGTTCTTGTCCTTTCGCGGGCCGGCCAGGGCTACTGCAGCCCCTCCTTGGTGAAGTATTGTTTGATTCCTTTGATTCCTGTCTCGTCGAAGGAGGATGCAAACTTGAGGTTACTTGAAACCATCGTGTTTTCGAAGCACTATTCTGTTCTCGGTAGGGCCCCGGTCTAATCCCACTTGAGACTGGTTGGATCCGCTGTATTTCATTATTCGGTCTGATCTGAGTCCTGACCCATCGTGGTTCTTCTGTATTGTTCGCGAAAGATCGTCTCCGGTTGACGGACAGTGAGCATCCCGGAAAGGAGTCCCTGCAGCTTTCCTTTCTCCCTCCGGCCACACATTTGTGGCAGCTACAATACTGTCCTGCGCGGTTCCGAGGGTAAAAAAGTCCGTTTGGCTAGAAAAAGTCCCTGGGATGATACAGTGCAACTCAACGACTGGTCCAGCTTCTTCTGTTTCTTCCTTTCCATTTTCTGCATTCTTTTTTCCCCTTCTATCTGTGCTGTGCCAATATGCACCGTTGAAACTGCTCGTTCCAGATAATCTTGTTCGATCTCCAACGTCGACCGCTGATATCTTTCCTGTGGGGAGGGCCCCGATCCTCTTCTGTTCAATCGTTTGACTGATTCCATCTCCGGCTTCTTTAGCCCTGTGAAAGGTCTCTGTTCTTCAGTGCCTTTTTCAGTGTGGTGGTCATTTGCAAACATCAAGGCCGCCTCTTTTCATTTCCATTCTGGTGCTTCGTCTCTCACCTCGCCCGAACTTGCCTTGCTACGGCATCCTTTGCCCTTGCCTCATATGACCTTCGTTATTCCTGCTTCCCGTCTCTTATGCGTTCGTTTCTTGAAGTAGTTGTTCTTTTGAACTTCAATGTCTATAATCGACTCTCTGCGCGTCGATTCTTTACCCTCTCCTTCGTTTGCTGACTGTTGTTAGTTGGAGCGTCGTCCTTTCCTTTGTCCCCGATTGCGGGTTCGCTAACCCACATTACGCGCTTCTTCCTGAGCGTCCACGTGGTGCTCCTTTGCTGTAGACGCATCATTCATTTTGGGAGGCTCTTTCTGATTTCGCTACGAGTATATCCTGTTTCTATTGTCCCTATCGCTTTTTCTTCCCCGGTTGGAATCTGTTCTTGGTGGCTCTCCAACGCTGTCGCTCGGTTTCGCCGCAGTGCGCACTTTTATCCTGATAGGCTTTGGCACTGCTTGTGTACCTTTGGATTCTCAAAGTCGCGTGGCGCGTCACTCTTTACATCTTGTCATCATTGTCTAGAATCCCGATCTCTTCTATTGACTCATTGTCGCCGGTTGGGCCGACTCTAGAAGAAAAGCCGCTTCTACCCAGCTTCCATGGTCAACTGGATATGTCGAATCTAGCAGAGAGGCCATGGAACGAGGAGGAGAAGGTACGAAGTTTACCCTTTTTTCATTTGTTGTTCTTTCTCGTTGGACCTTTTCATCAATGGGATCGCAAGTGTTAAATGATCCTGTGACTTGTTTTACGGACGACTAACGATGGGCTCAAGTACACGCTACTTACCGAGATCTTAAAGAAGGCCAGAGTTCCCTCGAGCCACTTAGTAAAAATGATCCGGGATTTCGGTATCACGCCAAGCTGGACGGACATCCCCTTGCCTCAAGGTACAAAGCTGTCATTCGATGTCCTGGGGGTTTCAGTTCGACTGAGCACATGTGCTAGCCCACATTGGGCCAGAGAACCCTTCCTGATTTATGTCTGCTAGCTGACGCCGATCAATTTAGGTCGCTCACTCAACTCCTGCCAAATGGCGTTCTACAACATGTGTCAGCACGTGCCATTATCTGTCAATTCCGGCCGTGGGCCGGTTCCTCCTCACGCCCACGAATCTGCACCGCCAGCAACTGCACCCTTGGACCCCAGTGCTTTGCGTAAACGACCTCTGTTTCCTCTAGATAAAGGGATCCGCACCCCTCGTGCAATTCAGCCACGCCCTGCGACCAGTACTGCTTCTTACAGCAGCGAAAGTGGTGCCTCGGCTCTTTTGTCTCCCAGCTCGGAGAGTATCACTGTCAGAGGCGAACCTCCGCGGAAACGAGGTCGCCCAAGCAAGGCTGAATCAGAACGACGTAAGGCTGCTGCTGAGGCCCGCGGGGAAACCTATCCTCCTCCGCGACGATCCGGCTCAACCAAGGGGAAATTGCCATCTGCACCAACTAGTCCTGCTGGCCTGGGGCCTGGAGTACCTCTATTCGGTCCCCAGGTCGTTGGCAGGCCGCTGAATTCGTCTCAATCCGTATCACACTACCCTGCACCACCGAGGCGGCCATTATCAATGGGAGGAGCAATCGGTGAAGCGCGATTGCAAGAAATGCCCAGTCAGGAATTGATACCTTCAATGAGAGAATTGCCGCGGCCCCCAGAAATGAGACAAACTCTGCCTTCGCCACAAGCGCTACAATTAGGACATAAGGAATCGATTTCCAGACGAGACACAGGCGATCGGTCATTCGAGCCCCATCTGCCTGATAGGACATCATTCGTGGAGAGCAATCGGAGGAATCTAATTCATCCTCTCGCCAGGCGCCCAGAAGAAGCGCATGGGACGGCTCCAGAATTATTGATAGAGGGACCAGCAGAAACTCGATCTGAATAACGTACAATTCCGGAAAAGATGGAAATCCCTTTTCTTTTCTCAGAGTATCGACTCACGATTAATGATTCCATGTCAATCACAAAAGACAATTTCCCTCTCTTTTCAAATCGTTGTCGCGAACAAGATCGATCAAGTAACGATGACAGCCCAGCCATATCAGAGAACGTGCCCAACGCATGGCTCGTTCCACTCATGTGCAGCTTCTATTATCTGCTTCTTTTCTATACGATCTACGATACATTTTCTTACTTACAGCGCGCAAGCATATTATTTATGTTCGGGCTAGAGCATCTAGCAGAAGGGTCCAGGCGTGTCAAACATGTCGAATTGGAGAAGAGAATTCAAGCAAGAACGCCTTCTAGAGACATGTTTCCAAGTTTTGGAATATCACATTCTGCCAGCACTTACGTCTGCGCATATGGATCGACGACAGATTATTTATGAATTCGTTTGAACAAAACAACAAAGACCTATAGTTTCATGCCCTGTACAATTGCTTGGTCGGCAACCTTATGAACAATGAGACATGATATCACAAGTCCTTGTGTTGCTGATTCGCAAGTCATACTTCTTTTGATCTACCTCCCTGCCAACAATTTTGTCATGCCTTTTACTGGTGTCTTTTCAAATGCGCTAACTTGCCGCGCACTTCTCTATGTCACATACTTGATTACTTGTATAATACTAATTATTGCATGGTGTTGCATAAGAGCACAGGATTCAGCCCAGTCCTTGTTGCTACACAGCTGGTGTGCAAGGGAGAGAAAAAGCACTACCAATGCGACGAGGTCAGAAGATTCGAGACAATGCACAATATGGATCCATGTATAGACCATTCCACTAGTCATCTATTGTTGTTGAGGCCACAGCTAATGCTAGTGAAATGCCACCCTCAATTCTTTCATGGATCTGCACATTTTCTGACTCGGTCTACTATGTTTCGTAAATGAGATGCAGAGCGCTCGGGGTTCGGTGCGTCCGTCGTAGTGACTCCGGCTGCAGTAGCCAACGGCAGTACATCCGAGGATTTTACTCTCCCCTGTTGTTCCAGTTGCAGCTTGATTGCACTCACAGCAGAAGCCAATCCAGAGCTAGATGTTTTCTTCACACCGAACATTGGCCCCAACTTTGTGGCGTTCTCACCCACCAGCCTCATCACATCGTCTTTACCTTCTACGCGACGGGTCAAGTACACTTTGGGCTCTCTGCCCTTGCGAGGAAGGCTGGGTGCTCGAATACGCTCGATTTCCTGTCGGTAGGCAGTCTCATAGATATCGAAGTCCGCAGCACCAGGGGACTCGCTCACGATCGGACAGGCCATATCAGCGTTTAGGTCGAGGTCCATGGCGGTATCCACATCGGCCGGATCCTCAGCCATTTTTCCTGGTTCTTCAGGAATGAGATGATTCGCTGCATAGTCACATTCTTCGCTCGAAGGGGACCCCGTAAAAGATGACGGCCCAATGAAGAGGAAGGGGAATTCTTCTTCGAGAGGGTCGCGTGCATGTCCGCGCGTCCCCTCAACGCTGCGCTTGGTTGTTGCTGAGCTTGCTCGGGATAATGGTATCAAAGGAGACGGAGACTGTGGCGTAGAGGTGGGTTGCGGGTCGTCAATGAATCCTCCTCGAACATTGATAGTGCGAACGGAGCTCGAGTCCTTGCTCTCTGGCGCGTCCTCCGTACCAATTCTGTAACTGCTGACAGTGGTGGGATCCTCTGTGGGGAGTTGTTGACCGCCACCTGACGGTTGGTTGTGTGTTGATTCTTCGGTCTGACCGTGAGGCTCTTTCAAGGCGTAATGCTGCTCCCAAGCTGTCCTGTTGTATGTGTTCAAACTTTGAGCCTTGCTCTTCACACCCAAGTGACCAGTTGCAAAACTCTCTTCTGGCTCCATTTCCAGTGGGGGCTCTACGAAATGTGTCTCGTACTCCTGACCGAGAATACTCTGCATTGGAGGATCGCTCTTTGCTGGATCAAGTAGTCTTTTGAAGCGCTTCACGGCTTTGATCTATGTTTCGTTAGGAGTTCTTCATACGCTGATGGAAGGCTTAGGAACAAAGGGGATTTTAAAAATACTTACTACAGCCATGACATGCCCGATAGTCCTAGTGATAGCTGAATTCATCTCCTCCTCGGTCGGAAAGTCGATTATCTCCGCTGTGTTCTCGGTTTCTGACAGAAGAGGGTCCAACCCGTCTTTTGTTACCCATGGATGCTCCTGCAGTTCACTACATGAGCAAAGTACGTTCCAGAGGATCTACACTCGCCCAAACTTACTCGCAGCTCATGCATCTGGATCCGTTTTGTCGGATCTTTTTCCAAGATCCGAGAGATCAGATCTCGAAAGTTGTCGTCAGTCTCCTCCTCACACACAACTGCGTCGTTCTTGATGGCCTCATAAAGTTCGAAAATACTTTGCTTCTCAAACGGAAGCTTTCCATAGCGTAGACAATACAGCGTGACGCCCATCGACCATATGTCTGCCGCTTTTCCCGAAACGTCGCCGTGCTTCACGACACATAATTCCGGGGGAAGGAAGGCAGGAGAGCCCGCAGACTTTGCCGTGTACATGTTAGAATCCTTTTCGAACATCTCAGACACGCCGAAGTCGACAACTTTCAGGACGTCGTCATTCGTTACCAGGCAGTTGTCCGGTTTGATATCTCGGTGTACGATGCCCTGAGCATGGAGGTATTCAATCCCAAGAATCAAGTCACGGAACCAGCAGCGACAGAGAGCATCCTCGTACGGATCGGCTCTTTCTTCAAGGCTAACTTTCATAACCACGCCTTTCTTGCACATCTCCATAACCATGTAGAGAGAGTCCTCTGTGGGATCGTCTAGGACCTCTATCAGTGAGACAAGATTGTTATGATTTAATTTCTTCATGATTGCGATTTCCTCCTTGATCAGGTAGAGGGCATCTTGCTTATGGTTTTCGACGCCTGCCGAATGGCGATGCAGCGGGGAATCGTAGCCATCCAGAATGCGCCTCGGACCGCGTGGTCTCCGCAACAGATGGGACTGGGCCCGTCTCCTGAGACGAGCCTTTGAGAATTCTTTGACGGCCTATTGATCGGCTGGGTCAGTCACGCGAGCACTTGCCTAAATATTGCAGGTAAAATGCCGTCAGTTCATGGCGAGGATGAGCATAGACCCTACATATTCGTTTCCAAATTGGTCGACCGCGAGGTGCACCGCTCCAAAGGAGCCCCTGCCAATTTCCTGCTTGATCACATACTGGTTGATTCTGTGTTCAGCAGTTCCGTCATCCTGGCTCGTAGTGTACTCAGAGCGTGCGTCGAGCGTCTCCTATCCAGGATAGTCAGAACCATTGCACAATGGGACACTGATCGCCACGGGAAGACGGCAGATGTGGCTGAAGAGACTCTCGGATGGGCGCTACCTTTACCGGCCGCCTGACTATTGGGTTACGGCGATGATGCCTCTGCGGGCTGCCATATGATGGTGTTGACCTGAGCATTGTGTGCACGGTCAGATCTCAACCTGACCAGTACCATTTCAGAAGAATGTATAGCAAATAAATGCACATACGCAGAACGGAAGGGCCAGGGTTGTGGCAACGGAGCTTGATCGCTTGGCGCACCATTCTGTTGGGCCAGCTCGAGGTTTTCGTGAGCCATGGGAAGCAGAAGGGAACGACAGCGCAAAGGCTGTTCGAGTCTGACAAAGACCTGTCTGAAACTCTGCTGGGTTGCCGTGATGGGGAGGGAATCAAAAATTGACGGCTGCCTTGAAAGCGAATGTGTGTGGGGGAGGGGGGGGTAAGAAAGGACCGGAGATGAATGGCGGGTTAGAGTTAAGCACCACAGGTACAGTACAAGTGCCTAGTTGAAGGAGAGAAAGAAAGCAGCTTCATAAGAAAAGAAGACGGCCCGGTCAATGAGACAGTTAGCTTGATTGATAAGTTTCTAGGTATAGAGACGGGTGAAAATATACACGAAGCAGAAGGTGGTGGTTTGTCGCAATTTATTGAGTGGAGGAAAAGAGAAGGAATAATTGATCGACGGGAGAGAGGGGGGAATTACTGTACAGTTGGACATACGGTATACACTCGCTCAACCTCACCCTCCACCCTATGGTATCTACTGTACATACTATGTACTCATGCATCTTAACCAGCCTAGACTACGCTCGGTAGTTGATTTACAGCGGAGATCATCAGCTGTAGGCTATAGGGCTGATGGTTGGGAGTACGTGTGTATACAGTGTCAAGTGTGTATCGTATGTACTGTATAACTATGTACCCCGTATTGTACTCTTGTTTATGAATTGGTTCTTTGGTCGGAACTATAATCCTGGCTGGGCTTTTTTTTATTTATTTATTTGAACCCTCCAGAAATAGACCAGAGTATACAATACAGACGAACTTACATATTGACATAGTGACATATTTCACTCACGTTGATAGCATTCATAATATGTAGGAGAGTAGATCAATGATAAAAATAGTACTGTACTGGGTGTTTGATCTCTGATCTCTTTTTTTGTTTTAGTATGGAGTAATTTACTCCGTAATCCTACGTACAAGTCAACAGGCTTATCGATAACTAAACACACCAGGGTGGCTCACCGCCCACAAGCTTCCCTCGTCCACTTGTCCGCTATCTAACCCTCCTCCCTCCAACCTCCGCATCTCATCACGACTCACGACTCACGACTCAGAATCCTCCTCTTACTTTTGGCTCAGATTCTCTGCACACACATACTCTCTCCCGCTTTACCCTTCTTCTGTTCTTGTCAAATTATCATCGACCTGTCCGTTCTACCGCAATGGTGGTTTATTCTTTCTATATCTTTGACCGGCACGGTACAGTACCTTCTCTCCGCTTCCCTTGTATTGACGTCCCCAGATTTCCACATGCTAACCTCATCCCGCCCTGCTGTTAGCGGAATGCATATACAAACGACGCTGGTTTCCTCGTCCAATCTCTACTTCAGGCAGCAAATCTTCGCGACCGACCTCGGAAGCTTCTGCGCCAGCTACCAGCGCTCCTGTGCTTCTTGGCCAATCCGCGCGGACAACCGATGACGATGCGAAGTTGATCTTTGGTACTGTGTTTTCGCTCCGCAATATGGTGCGCAAATTGGGAGGAGAGGACGACAAGTAAGGCTGTGGCTGGCTCATGAATCAGGGGTTCAATTTTAACTGACCAGGGTCTTTCAACTCCAGCTTCGTCACGTACAAGACGAGCCAATATAAACTGCACTACTACGAGACGCCAACCAACATAAAATTCGTCATGCTCACGGATATCAAGAGTCCAAGTATGCGCGTTGCATTGCAGCAGATCTACATCAATCTCTACGTCGAATACGGTACATCATGACATACTCCTTTCATGATTTGTTAGAATGCGCCAAGCTAATCTCTAATCATGGTCCGGCAGTGGTCAAGAATCCGTTGTCTCCTGTCGAGCATCCAGGGGGTGTGGGCGTCAATAATGAGCTATTTGAAGAGTCTCTAGAACAATTTGTGGTACGTGCGAGGCCATGCCCCTACCAAAGGTATCTTCTGATCGCTGTAGTAGACACGAGTCTTGTCGTGAATCGGTCATCCATGCCCTTCAAGTTCGGAATCATACGTCATTCGGAAATGAAACTCAGACTGGCTTCACACAATCAATCAATCTGCCAACAGTTGCATCGGCAGGTAAATACTGCGCGGCAGCAGATTTCCACCATTCCAGAATATCACGCTCCAAAATAGCTCGATAGCCGCAACACACGCTGCGCGAAGTGTTGAAAACAGAAGCAAGACTTTGGTGCTTGTCATGTGGAGCATGGCACAACTCATGCATACATCGTCTGCGATACGTCAAGTCTCGTTGAGATCCATCCTACTTGATCAGGGCACTTTCACCCTTTTATGGCTACGGCCGAAATTAATTCAATCAATATCAAGTGCCCCGAAATGTTACCAATATCGGGCACTTCATGGGAACGATATCCTGCCGCAGAATTGGCTAGGCAGATCTTCCACATTCAAGTCGTATACAGTACGTAATTACATATCAACATAAGAGCAATTCATCACTGAACAATAAAAATGAACTCATGTACAGTCATTCCACGTTGCGCATCATATCCACCATCGTGTCGGATGTCTTCAAGCCACGCCACCAGTGCTGGACACACCGGAGTTGCCATAGAGCACTTCTTCAGGCAAATCATCCTCATCCGGACCTTCGTTGTAGGCGTTTCTTGTCGATGGCTTTGCATGACGCAGGCGGCTTCCCTGCAGGATGTTGGACTGATCGATAGCCTCGTTCTCATCTTGGGCTGTAGACAATAATTAGCCATCCACTCATCGTTCGTCCAAGGTGGTGCGGAACCTACCAAGCTGTTGGTCCGAGTTGGAATAGGGAGGCTGCATGGGGTCGTCATAGCTATCTTCGTCTTTCTGAACGGGAATCTGTCCCCTCAGTCCCGACTGGGTCTCATGGGCATAGGAGTTGTCGTAGACAGTTCCAGAAACAGGAGAAGTGTCATTGTCAGCCTCGTAGCGGTCTTCGGCTTCTCTCTCGTAGCGGTTCGACATGTTGATGAAGGGAATTAATGAGGTGTGCGAAAAGTCTTTGTGATAGAGAAAGTCTGCGGACGAAAGTTGAATAGGTGTAAGGAATCGAAAGTTTTGGATAGCCTGCAGCAGAGTTTGGCAAATCTGGGCGGCCTTATAACTTCGTCCATGGACCTCTATCTACTGGCCCTGATGCAATGTTGATGTCAAGCTATGTCTGATGAAATCGATCGTTTCGATCAAAGAGATTCACATTGAGATAAAGTTCAGAGTAGGTTTTGAAGATGTCATTGAAAGGTTGGCATTGGTGTCCATTAATCGAATCATGTGTGACATTGATGCCTTCTAGAATGTTTGGTTTTCTATCAAGTACGTCAGGAGTATCGAATAGTTAGGACACGCATAGAGCCTAGAAGAAAGTCTGCCTTGGTTCAATGTTTCGAGCCGGAATCATCGTCTTCTTTGATGTCTGCTGCTGCTGTTACTGCTGCTGTTCAGATACGACGTATGTCTTTTCCTGTTACTTCGTAGTAAAGTCATTGATGCAGCAAGGCATAAGGGCCATGGGACATGAGAACGATCATTTCCTGAAAGGACATGCAAGATCGAGAGAAACGGATCCCTGAACCAAAGTTAAGAATAATTGAATCATGGTTCGGGTTGATAGCGACGTAGGAAAATGACATCGGATTGACTCGAGCTGAGGTAATGCGCCACGGCCTGGGCTGGTCGGCATACTACAGAAGATCCCAGCGATCATCATGGCCCTCGGCGTCACCATTATTCTCTATGATGTAGCGAGGTACGAGTCAATGAAATGTGTGTGATAGAGAGTAAAGGTATGTAGAAAGTAAGTAGTAGCCTTGTATAGATGGTTGTTCCATTCCAGACTTTAATGGCGGTCGATCATTCTTGCAAATCCCAGCAGGCGTCATGCTAACTTGGGGAATCTTACCTAAGCTGCTGCTGCTGCTGTCGCTGGTCCCTAGAATTGCAACCACTTCTGATCGCACTCTATCGCTATTATCAAGCACGATGTCTGGCTCAGCTGATAATCCTTTATTCTTTCTCACGCGACGAAAAAATATCCGAGGGAGAGCTTGTCGAAGAACCATACTGCGCAGCACCTGAACATCGCCAAGGGGTTGGGCGTCGGTTGCAACAGACGATCGGTCGGTCGAACAGTGCAGGGCCGTTGCGGTCGTGAACGCGAGAATATCCAGACCGGTCAACTAGCTAGGAAACAGCATGGTCATTGATTCACAATCTGGCGGTCAAACAAACCCTTTGGACATCTGGCTTGGGTTTAATAACAGTACAACACAGGAAGAAGAACAGAGAGGGAGGAAGAGGAATGGGCTGAAGTGCTCCGAGCGCTCTCCCTCCCGCTCTGGCATCGATTTGTTGTCCGCACCATGTCCCAAAGGCAAACTTCGCGCATATAATCGCCTGTCTGCGGAACCAAAGACTGATTTGTACTCTTTGGCCTTCCAAAACGGCACTGGCGGATCATCCGCCTGATCAAACCAGATCCGACCAGGTCAGATCGAGTTTCCTTCGACAATCATCTGATCTGATATCGGCCCATGCTCCGGTCTCTCGCCGCCTATGCCATCACCGTCATCATCATCATCACCACCACCACCCTCAGTATCCGCTCATGCCACTTAGCAGTACGGAGTAGTCGATTGTTTCTAACGATATGATCACCGTTGGCTACGTCAACTCTATCCAGTCCGGGCTGCCGCAGCCCTTCGTGCAGTCGCACTTGAAGGGGCTTGAGAAGCAGCTTAATCTCTATCGGGAAAGCCAAAATGGATGCGCAATGCGAGGAAGCTTGAGCCCGGCATTAATCCGTTCTGTTATTTGTCCTGGGCCCCGGACGGCTCGGCTACGTGGAGTCAACATCTCCTTTCCCCACTGGCCAGGAAGGCCTTGACCGGAGATGCTTGCTTTGACGATTCCGTCAGAATTTGTGCCACCGTGGTCAAAATTCTGGGGTTGAAGAGGGGGTTTGCTTGCTTAATTCGATCCGCGCGAAGTGGTGTAGACTACTTACTGTACCAACTCAATGTCATACCACATGGTTTAATGATGACGGACCAACCAGCTGCGACGCTCCTCGTATCGTAGTCTCCATGCTGGCTGCTGTCCCAGGTCCCAAATGGAGGAGACCGACTGGTTCAATTAAAAGGCGCACCCATTGACCCTTCCGACCCCTATGCACCCAGCCCATACTGTACTGTACCTGTCAGAATTTCCTAGTCAGTAGGCAGCTCGTCAGCTTTTCTCGGTTCACTGAGGCCCGATTCGATCATTCCACCGCTATCAACATCCTGGTGGATGATGTTGACATGTCTGGCTGACTCGCTGACTGACTGACTGACTAGCGGTCAAGAAGCTATAAGTTAGCTACTCTTAGGATTACGTACCCAGTAGGTAATTGACAGTCTTCGAGATTTAACGTGGGTTATTTTCAGAACCGAAGTACAACTACGTACAGAATAGTCAAGCCGTTCTCTTCTTCCTGTATCCAAACGGAGTCATGTTCGACTGGTAGTCAATAGCACTAACTTAGCATGTAGTTATGGCTTAGTTGTTTGGTAACTTGTTTCAAGTGATTTAATGGGTTTACCAAGCCGTTTATTCCCTTGACCGTATCGGAGTACGGCTCGTTCTCCTCCCGAACTGAATCAATACGGCCGGCTGTGCTCTCTACAATACTATGGGTAACCCGTCATCGGCGAGGCTGTTAGGACATAAAGCTGAAGACCATTTTGGATACACAACACACCGCGATATGTGATAATGAGCCCCTTTTTTCGTTGATTCACCCTCCTCCTCCTTTGACAAACCGGCAGGCGATCAAACCGAACACCAGTTGACCACTCCTGCAGCAGCTGGGCATGAGCTAAGGTGCGGGAGAAAATCACCTCGCATCCGTCATCCCGGGCCGGATTCCCCAGATGCACAGCTACGAGCGAGCGGAAGGGGAGGAAAGGGGAAGGAAGGGGAAAGAGAGAGATGAAAAAGATAAAAAAAGCAAAAACAGAAAAAGAAAAAGAAAAAGCAAACACGCATTGCATCTGCAGTTGAAACTCCGATCCGATCTTATAGGGCATGTACAGTACACCTTACACGAGCCACGCCCCAATCCGCGTAGCTATAAAGGAAAGGGAAAAGGAAACGTCTCTAAAAAGTGAAGTCATTCCGGTTGCTAATACAAGACTTCTATTACTGTATAAAATTAATCCGATGAATGGAAAGGAAACACAGACAGAGAATTGTGAACTACGGATACTAAAGTAGACCAGACTGCGTAAACAATTCGTTTCCCCGCGATACACAAAAACCAGGGTTAGTTAGCTTGTTCATGTTCTATCGCCCAGCACGGTTTAGATTCCGAGGCTAGAAAAGAAGACCTGGATTCCATCGGAGATGGTTCCCCACATTCAGCGGGGCTGCAGTTGTTGTTTTTATTGCTGCGACATGCCTACTTCTCCCTGTTTGTCTGCTCGTGTGTGTGCGCGCGCACCTATACATGATTATACGTGAGTATAGAGCTAGCATAAATAAGAGTGGATATAGAAGCACTTTGTACCAGAAGAGAGGTATGACAAGAATGAATGGGCTCCTCGGTTGTCTCTTGTTGTTGGTCGCAGTGCCGGCGTCGGACATTTCAACTAAAATTTCCATTGGCTGCGAAAAATCCCTCGTGCAAACTGGAACTGGATCTCAGCAGTTAGCTTAGACTACTAAGTTGACTACGTACTTGTACAGTACGTAGTACTCCCCGTAAATGGAGTAGGCAAACCACTCAATTCACGATCATTATCAACTTGTGACGGACTAAGGTAGTTAACTGATTAATTAATTCCACGACTCTCTGTCCATCATCAGCTTACTCAAAGTCACCTTCGATACCTTCAGTTTCCGGCTCCCGTCTGGTCAAAGCGCTACATTCCGGCCAGTCAAAATGAGCTTGGCTGAGCGATCATTCATGCCTAGCCGGACTATCATTGCAGTTAATGACAAGTCGCGTTGACTCGGTTCAAGGTTGCCCCTCCCATTTGATCTTCATTATTTTCGCGGCTTTTGCATTTAGGGTTAGACTTTCAGTATGGAAGAGCGAGGTGACCAGCTGAGGGGTAGGTGAATTGCAGTTAAGGGATGGATGGATCACGGATGAATGGGCTGGCTAGTCTATAGCTTACTGCGGAAAGATGACTGATGGCAACATGTTTATCAACCGGATCTCCGCAGATAGGCGCATGGAAGAATAAATTGACTGCTGCATGGTTGGCATTGTAATCCCTACCTTAATAACAATAGCCAACTGCATACTACCTATCATGCCTGGGTTACCTCTCCTTACCTGGCACCGAGGCTATTCCTTCTCCACTGCTTGTGTCCTCTGGCAGTATGTGGGCGGGTTATCGCTGGCCAAGGAAGCCCACGTCATTTCACCCAGCCCTAAGTAGGAAATGTTGTCGAGGTCCAAGTGTATATAGTATGCGTGCGTTATACCTAGAGACTGGGGTGCTGCCACTCATAGGTATGTAGTGATTTCCAAGCCATGAAATTGCCAGTCTTCAAGATGCTCGGCGGTGCAATGACCGCCAGATGGCCCAAGGGTTCCCTTGACCCTGCGTCCTGTCGTTGCTTGTCTCCAGAAGGGGTGTTACAACGAGATTGTGTCCGACGGTGTCAAGCATGCCTAGCGGTCGAGTTTAGCTTGCTCACGACCTCCTTCTATCCTGTTTTCCTGACATCTGCTGACCCTCGCGGAGCCAGCATTGGTGTATGACTGATAGTTGACTCCGGTCGAGCAGCATTGGATTCTCGCCAAATCAGAGGTCAAGGATGTACTCAATGTACTCATAGGAAGATGATCTGATCACTGTCTCGGAGATAGCACACGAAGGCCAAGGACTCTCTCAAGGTAAACTCTAGCCTCCCGCGCGAACCCCCTCCTTCTCTTCAACGTTTTTTTTTACTCGAACGAGCCATCAGTGCGTCCGGCTCTGGGTCTGTATGAGGAAGCTCATTCGATACTCCGCAGCAGGGTGTCAAATGAATTGTCGACCATGCCAATGAGGGTTTACAACTGACGAGCTATTTTGCAGGGACACAGGTAGATCAGAGCGCTGCGGTCGACTGTTCCATGTTCCCGAGCATCCAGGACGCACCCACATGGCAGGTAGTACATAGTTGTAGGACTGTGCTCATGTAGATCAGTAGGTTTCAGCCTCTCGTCAATCGAAGAACTCATTCGGGTGCACTGCAGGGCAGTCTGGCAAATGGGGCCGAGTCTGATCCGATGGAGGGGTAAGCTACCTACTCAGCATCTCAGATGCATCTGCGCTTATAACATTGATAGCGGGGCTTTCCAGCACAGGCAGCAGAAGAAGGCAAGAGGCGAACAGCTTATGATGGACCGAAAATGGATCTCAGAAAAGAGATTTCAGGCAAAGAGGGGTTTCCTACCCCCAGTCTGACTTACACATACTTACCCCTCAGCTTGCGGGTAGCCTGATTTCGCAATTGAAATATGGGCAAATCAGAGTGGGGAGTAAGTTAGCAAGACGCCACCGGCCAGCTTGCTGCACTCCGAAAGAAGCGCCACACCAAAGCTATACGATATACATATACCATGAAGACTACGATTTATTCCTATGTAGTAGTAGGATATCTCAGTCGGAGTCTCGATCTGACCACCCACTCAAGCTGGAGCCACCGAGTTGACTTGATGATAGTCGATGATGATAGCGATGGTGACGGTAATAATGGGGGTTGGATTGAGGCTGTGCAGAATGCAGGGCGTCTTCAGCAGTTCTGATCCGAAACCTACTCTTTAGTTTAAATTAACTGAACTTGGTTAGTAATTTACTTACCGATCACTGTACAGCTAGTTATCTTGAATTACTCATAAGTTAACAGACTTACTCATATGTAATCACCCAGAGCTGCTGAGCTGAGGGTTGACTAATCCATTTCCCGCCGGCGAGGGAGCTAACGTCATCTACAAATTGTGCGAGGCCAAGCGAATCCAACCGTGTAGGTCCTTCTTACATACTAGGTATTTCCGATCACGGACAGTGAACGTCATTCGACTAGAGCAAAGGGAACAGCGGAGAATAATCAGAAAAAGACCATCACAGACTCCTCGAGGGGGAACTACGCTTTATGACGATGGGTCAATGAGTCAATGGGTCAACAAGTGGCAGCAGGGGAAGGGGAACCGGACCTGATGAATGTGAACGGCTTAAGCCCAGGGATCTTCCGCACCGCAATGGAGTCTTGATGAGAAATCTCACAGGACGCCTCCCTTCACTTAAACCAAGCTAAGAAGGTTAAGGGGAGGCCAACGCCCCAGCGCCACTTTGTTCTTGATTATTGTTACATTCTTAGTGCTCCGTACCGTTGGCAGCATGCCCTGGTTGGTTTCGTATTTGTTCAATTGCGCTGTGCTTACTCGTACCTTTTAGGGTACACTAGGTACTGTACCATACATACCAAATGGTACAGCATTTAGTCTGTACTGTACTGTATCCGACCTGTTTGCTTCTTGATGTACACATATGTACATTTACTTCTGAGCCCAGGATCCAGGATGGGATGAACACTTTTTTTTGTTCCTGCCTGCTTGCTGCAAGAGCGCCAGGTCAGCAGAAGGGCGAGAAGCCGAGACCGGACATATAAGCAAACCAGTTCCTTCATAGTGCGAATCTGCAGACCGACCATCCATTGCTGAGCAAGGTTAGTACCAAAAGACATACGAATCGATACAGAAAGAACATTGAGAAAAAAGAAGACGGGTTGCAATCGGGGGTTCTGACTGAAACGGTGTGGCTGCGTGATAACCATACGGTGACATTACCAGGCGGGCCAGCTCAGAGGGCAGGAGACTCACTCACCCGAGGCCCCGGAAGCCCTGCGAACGGAGGAGCCGAGTCAGCTTAGGACTTTAAGCTATCTACCAAGTGAGTGGTGTAACTGAGGCGAAGGTGTAACTACATGTATGCGAAACCTAACTGTTAGAAACTGTGAGTTACTTGCTTAGTAGGGAGTACTTATAGGGGGAACCCAAGATGGTAAGGTCGAATGGGAGAATTCGGGGGATTCTTGTTCCTCTATCTCTCTCTCGCTCTCGCTCTTGCTCTCGTCGCTTCTCTCTTTCTTCTCATCTATCCCTTGCTATTATCTTTGATTGGGATAAAAACTGGCAAGTCTCAGCACCTTGGTAAGATAACTTCACAAAGAGCAGCCCCTCCTTCGATATGAAGTATGCAAGTATGCGAGGAAACTAAGATCGACTCAAATAGACAATCGACTTGATGATATCTAGTGAAGCAGTTACGGAGTATTGATCATTCTGTGGACAATAATTATTATAGAGGGACAGCAATTCAAAAGGGGAACGAAAATTAATAATAATAATATTAAAATAGAAAGAGAATACTGTAGAAAGAAAAGAAAGAACAGAAAGGTAAACCCACACAATCACTTTCCACAGTCCAGTGCAGTGCCACTGCCCACTGCCCACTGCCCACTGCAAAGTATTACTGATTGGCCTGGTTACTTACTTACCTACTTGCTACTAACTTACCTACTTACCATTCCCTCCTCCCTTATGATAATCGGATACTCACTATTTCAACCGCGCTCCCCCGTAGCTACATTTCCTACTCTCCCTCTCCCTCTCCCTCTCCCTCTCCTCATCTACAGTACATCATCCTCCTTTCATAAAGCGTGCGAATACCTTCCCGGTGGTAATTTTGCTCTACTCTGCTTTCGTACCTTCTGTCCCAAGGGTACAGTCGGCCGAATCTCTGTTGTGCAATTCAGTACTTGCAACTGGGTGTTCTCTCTTGAGTCATTCTTATTGCTGTGTTGTTGTCGTCTATATTGTTCGTTGTTTTCTCGTTGAGTTGATTATTCCTGCGGCTTAGTGTATTCAGGTTTTGGGGGTTCCAGCTCCTTCTCGGTATTTTATTTTACAAATCACCTCTGCAACTCTTGCAAATTTCCCAGCACCCGCCGTCACTTTCGTCACACCTCTTCTTCCTCTTTTCCTCCTTCTCAAGACAAAATCCGTCGCCTCAGGCCACCAACCCATCACCACCACCGGCTGGGGCCACCGCAACTTTTTTTTTACCCTTCCCCCCCCCAACTCCCTCCCTCCCCAGTTCCTCCATTCCTCCCCAGTTCTCCTTTCTATATTCAATTCTCTTCCAGAGTTATCTTTGGCCTTAGCAGCTTCGTGCTGTAGGCTTTCTTGCTCCCTCCCTACGTCGTGGGGGCATTCTCGCTCCTCTTCTTTTTCGTCTATATTATCTCATACTACCGCACATGACTCCACAATCGATTTCACCTGTACCTTCCGCAGTCTCTTCAGCCGCAACGTCACAGATTTTTCACGACTTTGGAGATGGAGAGTCCCAGGTAACACGTGCTCTTGCGGGCACACATCTGTCCGACATGAACGGGGACGCCCTCCCCTCCTCCCCTGGGCCAGTAAAGGCTCCCAAACCGACCATGGCCAACCGCATCTCTCGTATGTTCTCGAACACGGGCAAGACGACCCCTAAGGAGTTGGATCCGCATCGCGATTTCTCGGATAGCAGCTCGGATAGCATCAAAGCATCCTCCAATGGTAGTACGAAGCCTTCGAAACCCTCGTCTCGCCCTACCTCAAAACCCTCCTCAAGAGCGCCATCCCGTCAAACGTCTACCAGAGAGGACGAACGCAAGTTCAAATCCAGCAGTGGCAAGGACCAAAAAGAAGCTCCAGTCGCTCATCGACGCTTTGAGGTGCCCGGCGATGGTACTCACCTACATCACCTCAAGAGTGCCAGAAGGCAAGAGAAGCTGACCGACTTGCTCCGCGATATGCTGGGCGGCGGAAGAAAGAAGGAAGATCATGTCGAGGAACAGCAATTGTCGCTCATGTCTACTTGGATTGACCAATTCAAGACCGAACGCGACAAGCTTGCTGCAGACAAGAAGGGTGGCCCCAATGCCACGGCCTCGCTAGTTGACAAGTACGGCAAGTGTCAGGAGATTGTTGGTCGGGGTGCTTTCGGTATTGTCCGCATATCTCACAAAGTGGACCCTAAAGACTCTAGAGTCGAGCAGCTCTATGCCGTCAAAGAATTTCGCCGTCGGCCTCAAGAAACTACGAAGAAATATCAGAAACGGTTAACATCGGAATTCTGCATTTCCTCATCTCTCCGCCACCCCAACGTCATACATACCCTCGATCTCCTGCAGGACGCCAAAGGAGACTATTGCGAAGTCATGGAGTATTGTGCAGGCGGTGATCTGTACACACTGGTATTGGCCGCCGGCAAGTTGGAAGTTGCTGAGGCCGATTGCTTCTTCAAACAGCTCATGCGGGGTGTCGAATACATGCATGAAATGGGCGTCGCCCATCGCGACCTGAAACCCGAGAACCTCCTGCTAACTACCCATGGAGCTCTCAAGATCACGGATTTCGGAAATGGCGAGTGTTTCCGTATGGCTTGGGAGAAAGAGGCTCACATGACCGCTGGGCTCTGTGGCTCGGCCCCTTACATTGCCCCGGAGGAGTACATTGAGAGGGAATTTGACCCGAGAGCGGTCGACCTGTGGGCGACTGGCGTGATCTATATGGCCATGCGGACTGGGCGACACCTTTGGAGAGTCGCCCGCAAGGATGAAGATGAGTTTTATCAGCGGTACCTGGAGGGTCGCAAACATGAAGATGGTTATGCTCCCATCGAAACTTTGCATCGGGTAAGTACACCGTGAACCTCATGTTGGCAGACATGTAGACTGACACGAAGCTATGCAGGCTCGTTGTCGGAACGTCATTTACTCCATTCTGGATCCCAATCCTTCTCGCCGAATCAATGCCTCGCAGGTGCTTAAATCCGAGTGGGTTCGTGAGATCAAGCTATGTAAGGCTGGTGAGGAAGGATTCTAAAGCAAAAATCAACGATCAACATATCCACGCTGTTGGGCTCACCTTCAAAGCGCCGGGGATGGTCACTTGATAAGGGGGCCCATGGTCTCGGCGGGCTCAATCTTGCGTTAGTCGGGGCTGTGCATCCCCTATTGAGAAGTTGATCTCTTGTTTGGTGTGCGTGTGCCAAAAACAAAACCATAGACCCGGGTGGTTCATGTGTCTGCCGTTCTACAGGCGAATTTTCTTATCCTTCCGCCTGCTTCTTTCTCGGTCTGTCTTGCGACTGATACCATAGAAGGGGGCCCTTTTGATTTCGAAGCTATCATACCGGCGCATGTTTTCTGTCTCTACCACTATTTTATACTCCCTGCCTACTAGCTTATGGGTTTAGTTTGGTCTTCATGTTTCCATGTCAATGCAACGAACAGTCATGATCTATGAGCCACCTTCTCTTTAACATGTTCGATGCAACCTATATCCATTATCATTGACTATTCGTCGCTCACACTGCAAGGGCACTGCCCTTTTGTCTTCTTATGTTGTTTCTCTTGCTTTCTTTTCTTTTATTTTATTTTCTATTCCTTTCTTGGGATTTCTTTTGTTATGGTGATTCTCTCTTCTCGAGATCGGCTGGACGATCAGTCTTTCCTTGGGAGGATATTATGAGTTGGCTCAGCTGGAACCTGTCCTAACCATTTGCATCTTTATCGTTCGCTTGGGTCTACTTCACTTTCCGGTCGTTCTTGGTGTAATGGTCCTGAAATTATTGTACCATCAAAACTCTTATGGGACCGGGGATCGGGCATGTGTGTTTCTGGGATACCCTCTAGCAGCATATTCTCCGACATGATCATCTATGTCATTCTTCTCATTTCTCGTTCCTTGGCTGGATATTCTTGCTCGTCATTTAGTCGCCTTATTGCTGGCTATACTGCACAGCAGCGTTTGTTGTACCCAATACTGTCCGCGACTCGATATAATAGTGGCTCCTATGTACCGTACCAATCATGGAATATTTTAAGATAGAGGAACTGACCTGGTAATGCTCCAGTACGTGCGAGAACGAGGTTGTTGTCCAGTTTCTCTTTATGTGATCAAACCATTGACTAGGGATGACCTCATCAGCTGCATTAAGTTAATAGGCCAGCGATCAATCCAAGTCAAGAAATGAGTTCTAGTTCTGGCGCATCTAGTCACATTAGTCACTGTACTAACTCAGAGCCACCAAAAATACGAACAATGTGGAAGACAACAGTTTCAGCCTCGGTCGGGATCAAAATACCACGGTCGGATTCCCGATAACTGGCAGCTGCTCCACCGCTACCAACACTGACTGACAGTGGTAACTGCCAAGTAACATAAAAACACATGACTGGCACTTGTGCCGCATGCATAGACTGCATCGGAATGTGATCTAGGATTGATTCGGTGGTTATGTCTGGTTCGACCGGTCCAGCCCAGGACAAACGACGCAGGCCATGCGCACTCTCACATTGTAATAATGTAATAATATATGTATATTTATATGTTATGTTTGTACCCATATGTACATACAGCACTAACTCAGACCAGATGCAGGAATAGAACGCGCCGGGCAACGAGCCAGATCAAGCTTGCTTGGCGCATCCTGCAGTCCGAAGACGAACTCGAGCTTTCAGTCAAAAAATTGGTTAGTTTCCTCTGCGGGCCGTTCAAATGACCGATTGATTGACTGGCGTTATTGATGAGTGGAGATCGACAGCTCACTCAGTGAGTTTTCTTGACAGGGGATTGATTGATTGTTTTTTGATGCCGGGCTCACCGTCTGTCTATCTGGTAGTTCAGGGTCATTCACTGTCTATGGAGTAAACCCTCGGCTTCAGAAACCGAAAGGCCGTACTTCCGTACAGAGAGTTTTTAGGCTGCATTTGCCACTCCTCTCCCCTCCAACCCCTTGAGTCTGAGTGCTCATGTTGCTGTCTGATTCCGTTGGGGAAATGTCAAGCTTGGCACTGCAGCCAGCCCTATGCCAATGGAGAAGGAGGAAGACGAGGAGTTCCGGATGATCTTCCGCTCAGGGTAGGCAGCACTATTACTCTCTCTCTCTATCTCTCTCTCCTCTCTTGGCGAAGAGACGAGCGTCTGAACCTCCTACCTAACAGGCCCTCACTGCACTGCATTGCCACCTTATGGTTCGATTGAGAAGTCGAGAACCCGCCCACCGCTGCAAGGCGGATGGCCAAGAGTCCGATATCGGGTGGATCTTGGCAAACACATTGACTGGCTTCTCTCGGGACATATGATTTCGCGTACGTGCACTAGGGTGTGCACTAGGGTGTAAGTACGGAGTACCTACTGCATACATACTTGAAGGGAATCACTGGAAGTTTCAGTCGGTCGTGTTTTGTTTTTTCTGGCACGAGGAATCTCTTCTCCGAGGCCCCGGAGGGAGGATTAAATCCATACGAGAATGTATGTACAAAGTAGCTATGCTATGCTGTGCCTGTCGATCCTTCATTGGACCAACACACGATATTGTAGGTCTCGTACTCGAAAGTCATCAATCTGCTTGCACGAGGGGCTTCTGAGAATCCGGGGTGCAGAGCAACAAGAATGTTCAGGGTCTGGAGCCTGGTTCGGCCGAGGATGCGCTGCAATGACTTGGTGAGGGGAAAGAATTGCCGCAAGAGAATCGCTCCCCAGAGAAAGTCAAGAGGATTGACATGTTGTGATGAGATTGAAGAGTAATGTACAGTACAGTCAGTACATAACAATGTGTATTTGCAGTGGTTCACTGACTTACTGAGTGACATACTGACATCACTCCCACCTCCTATGTTAATTTAAGGAAGTTACATAGCAGGAGGCGGGCTGCAACGTTTCTTGATACTGGCAATACATGACGTAGAAGAAGAACAGGAGGAACGAACGGCAGATACAGTGATACACACAGTGAACATTACAGTACTGTATAGAGTACTGTGACTGACCACCCGTGTTCCTACAATACACTACAATACAGAAGTCATCCGCCCGCGGATCCCGGGCAAATGCGCACAGATTACTCTCCATAATACATAAGTATGTAATACTCCATACAGGACGAGTTGTAATGCAGAGAACATTACATGAAAGAGCACCGCCACATCATTTATAATTCGGTCGTCAGCGCCACAGTGATGGCAGCCTGCCTTGTCCCGCATTCATCGGGCATCTCCATCTGCTTTCGGAAAAGAGGCACCCTTTCCACATTACGTTTCACTCCCTCAGACTTGGAACTCGAACAACAACGAACTCGCGATTTGTTTGGTAAACACTTGTTAAATCCTTATCGGAGTGCATATCTCTTGCGGCCGGCATATCCTATCGGTTGTCTACATCCAGCCATTCATCGCTCTATCTCGAAGAATTCACCCCGACTCGCAAGACCCATCGTCATCATGTCCTGGGCAGGTGCGCAAATGCCATCCCTGCTTCTTGCAGTTTTCGCCGGTCCGCTTGAGACCTACTTCTAACACTTCTGGACTCTCTAGGGTTCAAGAAAAATGTGAACCGCGCAACGACGCAGGTGATGATGAAGACCGGTATGTTGTTGGCTGCCTGCGTACCCCGCGATGAGATTGTCTTCTATCATCCTCCCCCTCGATCGATCACGACCACCGACGGCTAACTCGAAATACTTCTTGCGAACTAGGACACGTGGAGCGGACCAACGATCGCGACTATGAGATTGAGGAAAGGTAAGGCACTGTCGGCACACGAACTGGTGATCAGTGGTTGGTCCGGGTCACTGATAGGCTCCGACTCAGGCGGTATCGGACCATGGAGGCTGCTGCCAATCGGCTACAGAAGGAGGCCAAGGGTTATTTGGATTCGCTGCGAGGTGTGTTCTCTATGAAGCCGCTTGCAAACCCGGGGAGAGTCTCCGAGGAGACAGGTTGCTAATGCGCAGACAATTTTATCAGCGATGACCGCCTCCCAGATGCGCATCGCCGAGACGATTGATGCTTTCTACGGCGATGCGGGTACACGCGATGGCGTCAGTCGGAGTTATAAGCAGGCGGTGGAAGATTTAGACGCTGAGACGATCAAAGCCTTGGATGGACCCTATCGGTAAATAACCCTTTGCGACTTACTGACGTCGATGCTCTTGCTGGTCAAGGCTGAACAGGCTGCTACAGGTCGACCGTGCTGGAACCGATTTCGCGATTCTGCGCCTACTTCCCGGATATCAATGAGTGTATCAAGAAGCGCAACCACAAGCTCCTGGATTACGATTCGATGCGGGCCAAGGTGAAGAAGTTAGTCGAGAAGCCTGACAAGGACGCCACGAAGCTGCCCCGGACCGAGCGCGAGATGGAGATCGCCAAGCAGGCGTATGAGCAACTAAACGAGCAACTGTTCACGGAGCTACCGCAACTAATCGATCTCCGGGTCCCGTATTTGGACCCTAGCTTCGAAGCCCTGGTCAAGATCCAGCTGCGCTTCTGTGCCGAGGCATACTCGCGCATGGCTCAAGTACAGCAGTATCTGGATGCGGAGACGCGGGATCAGTATGCTCGGGGAGATTTGGACAATCGGGTGGAAGAGGTGTTGCAAGAAATCCGGGACCTAAGCATAGCGGGCACTGTGTGAGGCTTCGGTTGTCGATCATGTTCCCCTTCAGAGAAGGGGGGGAAGGCGTTTCCATTACTTGCTATTCTTTCTCGGATTTGCGCTGTCGCTATTACCACCCCATATCTTCCTCGATGGGCTGCCTTTAATACTTGATATGCTCGTGGGTTGAGCAAAGGGTATCTGGGAGGGAGGAGGGAGGAGTGGGCTCTCTACCTTCCAGCTCCTTAGCCAGACACGGAGCATTTGTGTATGATCTAATTAGACTCTGGATTCGCGTTCCTCTTCTAAGGGAATGAATTGCATTTCATGGGTATCTGTAAAATATACGGCTGGGTCATGACTCCCCCAGCATCGAAATCTATCTTGCTTCTCCGCTGCTTGCTCAATGTATTGTTTCCATCCTTCCGTTTATGATCATTCACTTGAGCTCATCGTCCGACCGATAGAACTCGTCGGCCAGAAGATCCATGACGCGACCCGCTGCGGCGGCAATGGCATCCAACTCCGTCTGGGACATCTTGCCGAGGACATATTTCGAGACGGCCTCGGACGTTCTCTCCTTGGGGCGACCGATGCCCACTCCCACGCGCATCACTCGCGGGCTTGTCGCCGACTTGACCGGGTAGTGTTTCTTCGAACGCAGGACGTCGAAGATGTTCTGGAGGCCGTTGTGGCCCCGCAGACTGGCCTCATTCGGACCCCCGCGGCGAACCTTGACTTTTCCCAGCGGCGCCTCCAGCTCATCATGGAGGATCACCAAGGTCGGTTTGAAGTCGCGCACATTGCGCGGATCGGTGCCCCGGCGCTCCCACTCGGGCTGCTGCCCTCGCCCGGTGCTGCTGGTGGTGGTGGTGGTGGTGGGCAGGAACTCATACGGGATCGTCAGCTCCCCGCGCTCGGCGAGCTGCTGGTGGTTGATTCCGGCGCTGGGGAACTTCTTCATCCAGGTGTTGAGCGCCGGCACGACTTTCCCGCCGGAGACGTTCATCATCGCGGGGGACTCGAAGGTTTCGTAGAAGTAGGGCCGCGCGCCCCCGCGGCCCGTATGGGGGATCCGCGCCCGCAGGAGCGGGACAAGTGCATCCAGGAGGATGTGGCCGGCGCTGTGGCGGGTTTGGCGATAATGCTGGGGGAATCGATTCCCTATGGAGGCGATGAATAGGAAGCGGTGGGGGACTTTGATTATCGGCCCTGCAGCGGCCGCGGCTGCGGTTGAGGTGGGAGATATGGACATTTGGTTGTATGAGGAGGAGGTGGTGAAGGGGAAGGTGGAGGTGATGGTGGCCCACAGAGTGTGTGTATGGTGAAGTAGTACTGCACAGTACAATGTGGAAGGTGATTGTTGGTGTAGGTGTTGTAGAAAGTATTGTTGTTAATGGTATTCTCGGAGAAGGCATTGTTGCTCTTTTCCCTTTTTTTCTTTCGTTTTTTTCCCCTTTCTTTTTTTTTTTGGCTACAAAAAACCCCTCCGACTGGCCCTGGATCTACAGTACAACCAGGGCTTTCTTACACCCACCCAGCCCCTGGTGGCTTTCTTCTCTCATTGTCATGCTCTTGCTTTCGATTTCATTCTATCAGCCTGCGCGCTCCTCGAGACTTACCAGTATCACTCGGGCCCTTTCTTCCTACAACGAGTTTTGATGTCATGTCCATATATACACCAGAATGAATGATACGGAATAAGATAGTCGTAGGATGATATCCTGATGTAATATGAACAAGGAAATAAATCCCCTATAAAAACTGGGCTTCGGGAAAAGCAACCAACAAAACGCCCATCCAAACCCCAATGCAAACAAACATGGCTGGATATCTTCAAGATAAACAATGGGAGAAATTGCATCATAGCTGGAATTTGGTGCGGGTTTTTTCCATGCCACCCTTCCATTCCCACTCCTGGCCACTAGCCCGTTGTATACCCTTATCAATCCGGCGCAGCTTCAGGGTGAAGCGGGGTCCCAGTTCCTGCATACCAGCTCGAATGCCCTCAGCACCCTTCATCTCCTTGCCATCCGCACCTACAACTGCCTTTTCAGTCTCTCGCTTCTCGCGGAAGACGTAGCGGTGGCGACGAAAGAAGAGATAATCGCGACTGTTCAGGACGGTGACGACTTGCCGGCCTTGAACTTCCGGCTGCGCGGGGAACAGAGTACGGAATAGATGGGCCGTCAACAGACCCAGGGGAGTGCGGAAGTTGTTCAGGATGAGCTCGGGGAAATGATCGGTGGCATTTCCGTGCCCAGGAATGCGCTTGCCTTCAACCCAGTTGGACATAGAGAAATGAAACATTGGGCCAGTGGGCAGGTGGACGATATCCAGACCGGTGGGTTTCTTCTGATCTTCACGTAAAATTACCAGCGCAGTGTAGTTCCGATTCGAGGCGAATTTAGAGATCTCGCGGATGGAGAACTGATGAGCGAACCGATGGCGTGTGCGGCGGACATAGTGCGAGTTGGGGAAAAGGTCCGTGAGTAGCTCGGCCTCGTGATGAAGAGTTGAGTTGAGCGAGGTGGTGATGAGAATCTTGGGTGAGGGGTTTTCAAGGTTGAACAACGAGGGGAATTTGGCGGCCAGCGCATCGGGGACAAGACTGAGGTTAGTGCTCTTGGTCGATCGCGACGGGCTGGTCGCTCGCTCGGTAGCGGAGGGAAGAGCGGATTTGCGCCGTCCACGAGAGTCGCCCTCCTTGTGTTCATCATCGTCCTCTCCACCATCATCTCCATCTTCCTCGTCGTCACTGCTAGCAAGCATACTGTCCACATCGTCGTCCTCGTCTGAATGCTCCTCTGCACCATCATCGTCCTGCGAGTCCTCATCCCCCGACTTTTCGAAATCTTTCAAAGGTCGGTTCAGTTCATCTTCTTCTTCCTGCTTGCGTCTCTTGATGCGCTCCACATCAACACTCAACCCCAAGCCATCTTCAACGTCACTGCCGCCCTCATCCCATACACGTTTCCGATCAATGGTAAGTGGGATATTGCGTTTCAACCGTTCCTCCTTCAAGCGGGGGTTTTTGGCCTCTTCCTTCTTGAAGGCATATCGTTCGGTGCGGCGAGCGGAATCCTTGGCGCGCTTTCTCTTTATATGGAGCATCTGGCGGCGAAGTTTGTTGCGCGGTTTGATTTCCAAGCTCGCATCAGGCGGCGGCCGAGAGAGGCCCTTTCTGGACCCCATCCTAAGGAATATGTCAAGGTAATTCTCCCAATTGACTTGTGCTTGTGTAAAGCTAGGCAAAAAGACTATGGGGGGGGAAAAAAAAGAAATGAGACCGGCGGAATGATATCGGGACTGGAACAACAGCTTCCGGCGGTGAAAAACAGATTTGCTGCCATTGCGAGGCGGGAACAACAACCATACCCAATCAGGCAATGTGGAAGTTTTTATGCCCGTCCTTTCTTTGCATGGAAGCCAGCAATCATTCCCGATCAGTTTCAACTACGCCAGTTTAAGTTTAAAGAGAACTAATACTGTTCAATTGTCCTTCATCATCATCATCATCATCATTTCATACAGCAAATCTCATCTGCTGGTCTGACGTGCTGATTGATTGGTAGTTTGTAGAGACGTGGCGGATGACTCACTCGCAGCATTGTTCTCGTCTTTCTGCTCTCCCTCGTTTCATCTCTTCTCCTGTCCTGGTTCGGCCACGCCCACCGCCGCCGCCGCCGCCGTCGTCTTTTCTTCCCCGCCGCCGCTGCCCACTTACACTTTCTTCACTTCATTCCGCTGCCCCTCTTTTTCTTGCTTCAATCCCCGCGACTTTCGTCTCGTCTCCCTTCTCCTCCCTCTCCCCCTCCCCCTCCTCCTCCAGACTTTTCTCTACCTCCCCCATCCCCCTCCTTTTTAAGAGTCGTATTGCGCAATCTAGTCAAACCCAGAAGAAAAAGAAGAAAATGGCTACGATCAATACCAGGACCGGTCAGGTCGTTGACCGGAGTGTTTTGGACTCTATGCTGCGCCGCCGCCTCTTCTACACCCCATCCTTCGAGATTTACGGCGGTGTCTCCGGTCTCTACGACTATGGCCCACCCGGCTGTGCCGTCCTGAACAACATTGTCGACCTGTGGCGCAAGCACTTCGTGCTGGAGGAGGATATGCTCGAGGTCGACTGCACAATGCTGACCCCGCATGATATTCTCAAAACCAGTGGTCACGTCGAGAAATTTGCCGATTGGATGTGCAAGGATCCGAAGACCGGTGAGATCTTCCGCGCTGACCACCTGGTCGAGGAAGTGCTCGAGAGCCGCCTGAAGGGCGACAAGGAGGCTCGTGGCCAGAAGGTTGAGGTGGACGAAGAGAAGGAAGCCAAGAAGAAGCGCAAGTCCAAGCAGACCAAGGCTGTCAAGCTGGATGATGCTGTCGTCAAGGAGTACGAAGAAGTCCTGGCCCAAATTGACAACTTCGACGGCCCTGCTCTCGAGAAGATCATCGCCAAGTACGATATCCGCAACCCGACCACCGATGGCAACCTCCTTCCTCCAGTAGCCTTCAACCTGATGTTCCAGACCTCCATTGGTCCTAGCAGCAACATGCCTGGTTTCCTGCGCCCCGAAACCGCCCAGGGTCAGTTCCTCAACTTTCACAAGCTGTTGGACTTCAACCAGCAATCCATGCCGTTCGCCTCTGCCTCGATCGGCAAGTCTTTCCGTAACGAGATTTCCCCCCGCGCCGGTCTGCTGCGCGTGCGTGAATTCCTCATGGCCGAAATCGAACATTTTGTTGACCCCGAGGGCGGCAAGAAGCACTCCCGCTTCGCCGAAGTCAAGGACGTTGAATTGTCCCTGCTCAACCGTGACGTGCAGCTGTCCGGGCGCACTCAAACCGAGAAGATGACCATTGGCAAGGCCGTGGAGTCCGGACTGGTGGACAACGAAACCCTGGGTTATTTCTTGGCTCGTATCCAGCTTTTCCTGCTCAAGCTCGGTGTGGACCCCAGCAAGCTTCGTTTCCGCCAGCACATGGCCAACGAAATGGCCCACTATGCTGCTGACTGCTGGGACGCTGAACTGCAAACCAGCTACGGCTGGATCGAGTGTGTCGGCTGCGCCGACCGCAGCGCTTACGATTTGACGGTGCACAAGAACAAGACTGGTGCGCCTCTGGTTGTGCGCGAGCCTCGCGCTGAGCCCTTGAAGATTGAGGAGTGGCAAATTGACCTGGACAAGAAGAAATTCGGTCCCCGTTTCAAGAAGGATGGTAAGACCGTTGAGGCCGCTATTGAGGCCCTCTCTCAGGATATGCGGGAGAAGCTCTCTCTGGATCTGACACAGAACGGCAAGATTGAGGTGCCTGTCGAAGGTGTCGGTGCCGGCTCGGTCGAGCTGGACAGCGAGCTGATCAAGATTGAGAAGCGCACTCGGGTGGAGAACGTGCGCGAGTACACTCCCAACGTCATTGAGCCGTCCTTCGGTATTGGCCGTATCTTGTACAGCATGATGGAGCACGTCTACTGGTCTCGTGAGGGTGATGAAGCTCGTGGTGTAAGTCTATCTTCCTTCTTTTCTCAACCCACTGCATTTGCTAGACACACCGAACTGACTAAAATTGCTATACAGGTTCTGTCCTTCCCCCCCGCGATTGCTCCGACCAAGGTGTTGATTGTCCCTCTGTCGACGCACGCCTCCTTCGCGCCCCTTAGCCAACGGCTGATGATGTCCCTCCGCCGGATGGGTATCTCCAATCGGGTGGATGATTCATCCGCTAGCATTGGTAAGCGCTACGCGCGCAATGATGAATTGGGCACCCCCTTCGGTATCACTGTCGATTTCCAGTCGGTCAAGGACCAGACGTTCACTCTTCGTGACCGCGACTCGACGAAGCAAGTCCGTGCCAGTGAAGCGGAGATCTTGCAGGCCCTCAAGGCTCTCGTCGATGGTGAGGAGACTTGGGAGGACGTCCGCAAGCGTCTGCCTGAGTTCACTGGCCAGGAGGTTGATTAGACAGCTTAAGTCAAGCGGATTTAGACCATTGATGGCCTCTGATTGGGGGCCTTTGACATTCCATGTCTCTATTCTATAATAAAGAATTTTTCATTCAATAAAAATGAATGTTGCAACTTCCTCTCCATTTGAGATAGAGCGTAGTACATAGTTTTGGACGCCAAGCGCAAGCCTGCCGCGGCCGGGATCATCAACGTCATGGCCAGTTGGCAGTCTCCCCATCCATGCCCTTGATTAACCTTGCATCTTCTTCTTCATTGACTTTGTTACTCTCCCTCGGTCTCTCTCACCCTGATCACCTCCCTTCCTCACTTGTCGTCTTTTCGTCCCCCTTTTATCCTTCATTCGGTTCTATATACCGGATCGCTTTCTTCTTTGTTCCCCCTTTTTGCGGACTGTTTGACCTTTGTGCTCGCCAAGCATGGCACCCTCAATCCCGTCCGCTAAGCTGACTCTTTCTTGTCCTCTCTTCGCCGCTGATTTCGACCCGCGCAATCCTGGATTTTTGCTCGTTGCCGGTGGAGGAGGGGAGGGTCGCAGTGGAGTGGGAAACAAAATCGCAAGTCTGCCTCGTCGCCGCCTCGGTCCAGTCCTATGAATCTACCTGCTAACGATCATCCCGTGCTGTAAACAGGTCCTTCTCGATTCCTCTAAACGCCATACGCTCTCTCCAGTCGTTGATATCGACTTGTCGCGCGATGAAGATTCGGTGACCTCGCTGGCAGCTGCGCTGCCTACGGAGGACTCGGTCATTGCCTTGGCCGGCATCAACAGTTCCGTCGAAGAACAGAAGCGAGATAACAACCAACATCTACGGTCCTTTCGCATCGATTACCCTCCACGCAAAGCCCTTTCTGGAGCCGATCAGGTCGTTGAGTCGTCAGAAGACGGCTCGCCTGCTGCGCCGACTCTTGGGAAGACTACGCCCTTGTCGCGCGCCTCGCTCTTCCGCACAGCCAAAGGCTCAAAAACATCCGACACTTACCAACGCCTTCTGCGCCTTTCCCCGTGGAAGCCCGATGCGCAGTCCCCTCGCGTAGCTGCCATCGCAACCGGTCTGGCGGCGACTGGCGAGATTGTCTTCTTCAGCGCGACCGCTACCCCCGGGCAATCGGAGGTTATCGGTCGAGTTCGGCTAGGCAGCGATGAGGAGGCCGAGGACATTGATATCATTGAATTAGACGACGAGACGGGCACCTTCCGCTTTGCCTACAGCAATGGTGTCGATGTTATTGTAGGCCAAGTTGCTGCGGGAACTCGCTCAAATGCCACGCCGGACATGCAGTGTATTTATACGACACCGGTCCCGGAGAAGGGGCCGCGGACTAGGCCGAAATTCCGGGCGTTGCGCTTCCTTTCGCCAACCAGTCTACTCCTTCTGCAGAACTCTCCCGACCGTAAGGGCTGTGAGCTGATGATCCTTGATCTCCGAAATGCGCTGGTCCCCAATCCAGGGGAGAAGAAACTGCAACAACAGCAGCAAAAAACCACCGAGAAAGCAAGCATCATCCGGCGTAAAAAGCTTCGCAAGACCATCAAAATCGGTCTTGGTTTGGATGTCTGCCTTCTAGGCTCTGGGAGCGACGACCCCGTTAACCAGCAGCAGCAGGCCATCATCGCAGTCTCTGGAAGCGATCAATCCATCGAGCTTCTGACCCTCGAACTCAATCCGCTCAGCAGCCGGGGCGGCTACGGCCCTCTCCGTCACTATACTACTCTCCCCGACGTGCACCCATTTTCCATGACCAAGCTTTGCTTTGCTCCCTTCCATTCACCCCTGCACCCGGTGTCGGCCGCGACTCCTCCGCAATGCGTTCGATTGGCCTCGGTCAGCATGGGCAATACGGTCGTCGTCCATACTCTCCCACTCTCGCCCTGCCCCCCCACTAGCCGCAATCCTCGCTACGTCTTGTCTATGCCTGGAGAATCTGAGATCTGGACCAATTTCTCCAGCGGGTTTGCCGCCCTTCTCTCCATCCTCATTGTCTGCTTCGTCCTGCAGGCGTTCACCGAGATTCGGGGAGCAATGCCTCCCTACCTCGGTGCTACCGAATGGCTCCCCCCGCATATCCGGGACGCTGTAGCTCGACCATATTACCCTCCTCCTTCCCCACTTCCGCCCTCCCCTCTCCCCCCGGCTGACCTCTCAACCTCGTCCCCGGGATCACTTGTGGTGGCCAGAGCCCCCAGCAACAGCCCCATATGCGCATCATTGACCCCCTCCCCCATTCCTATCCTCGCACCGGGCAAATCCTCGTTCATCTCCTGCGATCCAGCTACGAATCTGCTACTTGTGGACTCCACCCCAGCAGATTCCGTCTCATCCTACCGCCGTTGGCGAGATGTCCAAAAGGCCGACCGCGCTCGGTGGACTCGGGGGCTGACCGAGGCATGCTACGGTCTGTTGCCCGCGTCGGATCTGGAGTCCGAGTCCGCGTCGGATGACGATTCTGTTCCGACCGGTGTGTTCTTCGGGGATCTGTGTCCTACCAACCCTGTTGAAGACCTGTCTTGATTGTTTGGCCTCCTTCTTCCTGCGGCTCTTTCTGCCCTCCCCGCATTTTATACACTATTCTTATGATATCGGGTTCATCAAATTCGAGGCTTAGCTGGGAAATCAAGATATAATGAAATTGATGCTGCCTGCCCTGCGTTGCTAGGCTTAAATTAAGAAACATCACTGAACGGTGATTAAAGGTTTGGCTGGGTCGAGTGATATGTTTGTATATACTCGCTTGGTTATTGCCGCAGTCTTGAAAATATATAGTACCACAGCGGTTCGCCTGAACATGCTCTTCTGATCCAGACCCATCCTCCTGTGGTGGCTGTCCTGCAATGGCCGGGCTCAGCCTTCTCGTGGTTTTTACTTGTATGCCTACCTACCTTACTGCGGTAAGGTCAACGGTATATGCTACGTGAAGCATTGAATATGACGTCATTCAAAGATCACATCAAAGGAACAAAGAGAGGATATTTTCTATTTTGGTTCTATGTCCGTCCCTTGGGAATCGCATGGGAAAACAACCACATAGGGGCTCTATTGCGTCGGTCTTCGTTCCTTATGAGGTCGACTGCGCTCCCTCTGCATGCCAGCAAACAGTGATCAAGCTATCGTATCACGGATTCGTTGACTGGCATAAATAGGTGGGAAATGAAAATCAACGCAAAAAAAGGCGGCATCACTTGGACTGTCTATCATGCACCCTTCCGTCTTTTCCATCGACTGTGCACTCCTCTATTATCAGAACGTCCGCGCATGTTCAGCAAAATAGCTTCTCAACTGACAAAGCAGTTAATATCATCCAGCCACTCACATATCTTGCTGTTTCGAAGTCGCTGCACTCCCTTGGGCAGGGACAATTCAGCAGAGGCCATTCCCACAGCGTCCCGCAGCGAGAAGTGGGCGGGCAGCAAAATAAGAATTATGCACAAATGTAAAATGTATAAGAAAAATGGCGAGGGAGGGCCTTGAAAGGGCCGAAGAAAAATCAGTATCAAAAACGCCGAAGCATCCATGCCAAGTCCGTGCGTAGCAAAGTGTGGATATCACGATAAGAATTTGGGTGCAATGGCGGGTCGTTAAAGGGATTAGCAAAATCGAACGGCGGTGCATAAATGTGACCCATATGTGTGGGAGGAAACAAGATCTGGTTTAAATCATCAAAGGGTACCGAGTGAGCACTGTAGCATGTAACGACCCGCGCTGGGATCTCTCCCCTTTTCGCTTACTGCCCGCTGTTTTTCTTCCAGCGCAGCAGCTCTGCAAGGCTAGCCAGACTGCATCCCATCTTAAGGAACTCGTGTGCCAACAACTCATCCGCCGTAGCACGGCTACGGACGTCAACGCAGAGGCAGACACTGAGGAAGGATTTGAGCTCTTTGCTGAGCTTTTCGGGCTTCTTCAGACGAGGGGTGCCGTTGGTGGCGATAAGATACAACGCTTTGAGGGGCTCCTCATTCAGGTACGGAGGCTCGGACTCGATCATCTCGATGGCCATGATTCCCAATGACCAACAGTCGACCTTGGGTCCGTACTCTTTCTGTTTCACAACCTCGGGGGCCATCCAGTACGGCGTACCAACCATAGTAGCCCGTTTGCTCTTCGACTCTGTGAGTTTAGCACAGAACCCAAAATCGGCTGTGATAAAAAGAAAACAATGCGATCAGTTATGGGAGAACAATTTAAACAGTGCTTCAAGATAATCGCTACTCACTGATCTTAACATGGCCAGCTCGGTCCAAGAGCACGTTATCACTCTTGATATCACGGTGAATGATGTTCTGGCTGTGCAGATGAGCCAAGCCTTTGCAGGTCTAGTGAAAGCTCGAGTTAGTGTCTGTTATATGCGAGAAGGATCATTGCAAAGTACCTCTAGACAGATGGTAGCAATCTGGTCTTCTTGGATCACCTGGTTATTATCGATCACGTCGGTCAAAGCACCTCCTTCCATAAATTCCATGACGACCCACAACTCGTTGCTTTGCTCTTGCAAGAACGAGTCGAGGAAGTTTACAATGTTGGAATGCTGGCTGTCCTTCATGACGATAATCTCGTTGACGATCAGCTCCTTGCGCGGCTGACTGCGCAAATCCATTTGCTTGATGGCCACTTGAGTTCGCGGTCCATACTGACGGTACAGCTCACGGGCAACAGGAGATGTGGCATGCTCCTTGACCCGAGCCACATACACAGAGCCAGAGGCACCTTGTCCGATCTTGCGCTGCTTACTGTAGGACTCGTTCGGATTATTCTTCGAAACGACGGACCGCAACCGATCCATAACCTCATTTTCGCTCATAGCCGACATACGAACCTCCCTCTGCCGGGGCTCTGCCTTCTTAGTCAAAGCCGCTTCGGCTTGACGGACTCCATCCGGCACATTTGTTTTGCCTGTTGCCTGCTTGTTCGCAATGTTCAATGGTTTCACTGGCTGCACTGGCGCCGGGAGCTTGCTGGGAGGTGGGCCCTGGGCCTGCTGTGTTTTGGGACCACTGTTCGGAGTTCGTGCGGCTTGGGTCTGAGCGGGGTATCTTGAGCTAGGCGAGGCCTGCTCTGTGCGGCCATTAGCATAATCTCCAGGTCGCTGTCCAGCCGTGGGCGGGGAAGGTGCTGGACGCTGGGCAGTCAATTGACGCGAGGGATCGGGACGAGTCGAGCCCGGAGCCTGCGGAGCAGGGCGACTGGGCTTGTAGCGATCATCCGGCGATCCATACCCTCCCAGTTCCTGCTTCGCTAAGGGTACGCGAGTTTTAGGCAGTGAGGCATTGTACGCATCCTGCTCGTATCTACTTTGCTCCTCTTCCCGCTGACGCACCCTGCGAGCCTCTTCCTCTACGCGCCGCCGTTCCTGGTCTGCTAGCTCGTTCATTCGCTCCAGTTGCTGCTGCTGTTCCGCTGTGCGATCGGACTGAGCGGGAGACGAAGCTGCTGAGCGGCTGGTGGAGTACGATTGACTGGTATCCAGCCGTTGCGCGGGAGCAGGGGGTGGTGGACGAGGCGGCGCGATGGAATTGCCCACGGAGTTATTGCTGTGTGGTTTGGCCTGCTGGGTCGGGGGCGAGGCCAACCCGGCGTAATATTGCGGATTTTGCTCGCGCATCTTGATGTCGGAGTAGAACTCAAGGACCTCAATGACGGCCTGGGGGTTATTCTTATAGTCTTCCTTGGTAATGGCGGACGCAGTCAAGAGCTTCTCCCACTCCGGAGGTAAACCCACAAACGCGCCGGTGCGGGGATCGAAGCCGACATGAACACGATGGCTGAAGTTGGTCGGATTGCTCACACCGCCCATCCCTGGACAGCGCTCATAAATCTTGTCAATCCAGTCGTAAATCTCGTCGTCGCTCTTGACTTCACAAGTGATGCTCTTGGTAGGCACATCGCGAGTTATCAAGGCCGCTTTGGAGTTAGCATCTTTGAGATTGGCGAGCCGCAGAATCTCAAACGCCATGCGTGTATCTTCGGAGCGTGAGACGCCAGTGACGGCGGCCAGCGGGATCGACAGCACAACCTTGCCTGTCTCATTTTTCAGAAAGTCGAGACGAAATTCACGTAGGATAAGATACCGCTGGTTCCAAGTTGCCAGAAACTTGTCCTCCTTGCACCGAACGTAGCCTTCTTTGATTACAGCGACACCTCCCTGACCGGACTGTTCGGTCTTGGTACGTGTGAGGGTGGGTGTGCTTGTGTTGGGGAACAAAGATAGATTGGCGGGCCCGGGAGTGCTGGGAGAATTGAGACTCATTTGGCTGAACGAGGTGGCTACGGTCGGGTTTGTTGGCAAATTGAGGTTTGGCCGATCAGCGGGAGGGCGGGGGGCAGGCCCCGGGTTCATGAATTGGTCGGGGGAGTACATTCTGCGGCCGAGTCAGCATTGCCCTCAAAGGACAGTATGCGCTGTTGGTGTTGGGGTGAAACGGGGCTGGGAGTCAGAATGGTAGCAGCTGGTGAGGAAAAGAAGACTTGCTTACTTTCCAGAAGAAAGCCTCCGAGTTTGGCGGAGGGAGGAGGGGGGGAGGAGGGGGGGAGGGGGGGGGAGGGGGGGGGGCGAAAGCGTCAGGGGTGTATGGTGTGGGCTTCACGCGAATTGCGCAGGGGGTAAGAGGTACCCCAACCAAGCCAAATGGGGGCTGCGATGCGTTTCCCTGCAGAGTTTGTCAGGAAGCTCGCATAACACCAACGGATTCCACAATCGCAAATGCAGGGGCAATGAGAGGTGGCGGAGGAGACGAGGAAAGAAGGTGAAAACGCATGCGCATAGCATCAATAACTACCCGCGGGTACTGCTAGCACATCGTGGGGTAGGTATGTTGGAGAAGTAGTGAAAGATGCGAAAAAGGGGGCAAGGAGATTAGTGAAGACGAAGACCAATACATACGAGGAAGCAAAGGAACAATGGAAGGAGATGGCCAACACTCTTTAGAGGGGACTTATGCTGGATTACCTGTTCTCTTAAAGAAGTCCTTGAGAAAACCTCACCGAGCGTGAAGGGCACGTCTCGAGGTCGCTGCCCCGAAGTCCAGGCGGGGTGAGCACCGGCGATGGACACGATGCAGGCAAGACACGGCTGTATGGCAATGGATGGAGGGATGGAGAGGGACAAGGGAAGGACGAGAGAGGAAAAGAAAGACACGTCAAATGACACAGACGAAGGTTAAGAAATGACCAGGTATAAAGAAGAGAAGGAGAGGAGGAGGAGTAGGAGGAGGAGGGGAAGGGAAGGGGAAGGAGGGAAGAGAAGAACAAGGAGAGAGGGTGCGACAGAGGGGAGGAAAGGGGAGAGAAGCGGAGAGAGAGCAACAAGTACGTACAGTACTTACTCTCTGTACAGTAGGTAGAGTGTACTGTACGTAGAATAATAATGAGTTGAGTTCACCAAGGGAGAAGAGGAGAAAGAATTGATCAGTCGTCGTTTCACTATTGACTTCTTGTTACTACTTATTATTGTGGAGAGAGAGCTTCTTCTTGTTCTTCTTCCTCGGCTTCTTCTCCTCTTCTTCTCAACCACTGTTTCAGTCTATCATTAGACAGCATCGTTATGTTAACCTACTCTGGTATGATCTAGACTTCTCAGGCTCTCACGCTTTACTTCTTGTTTTGGCTAGCTTTGCTCTGTCGATGCAGTCTCCCTGCTTGTCAGCAATTGTAGCTCTACTGTGTGTACATGTACATATACTGTACAAGAGAAGATAAGTTCTTATCCAGAGGCAAGGCTTGCTTGCATGCAGGACAATGTTGACTCAATAACCTTGATTGTTGGTGGTTTCACCTCAAACCTAATTCGAACCGATGTGCTCATATATAGTAGTAACCTATGTGCCCAGTACCAGAATAACAACAAATAAAACACCGAACCCGTCTCGGGAGCTAGGGATCTAGTTATTATTCCACACGCGACACAAGTGGCAAAAGTGGATGGAGCCTTCGCATTTGGATGTTAGTGTGTGTGTATGGGTGTGTGCTTGTATCTATGTATGTATGTGTATATATGTATATAGACATAGAAAGTAGGAATGGGTGAATGCAAACCACTTAGAAAATTTAAGAGAGATTGCATCAATAACCAGACCCTGATCGGACCCTGATCAGACCCTGCCCGATCTTTTACTCGTATCTTCCTACCTATGAGTACAGTACATACATAGTACCTGGCTAGAGAGAAAGGATCTGCGAAGATCAGGTCTAAAACAAGAAAAAAAGATGATCAATTCGATAACTATATCAGTGCAACAACCAAATCTGCCCAACTTAGTTGTTTTCTGTCCAGTCAGTAATCATTGATCTAGAGGTTGTATGTACAGTACATAATAAACAAGAATAGTGATGAAGGAGAATCAACCTGTTCATTTCTTAGTCTCCCGCAATGGCCGGCCCACAGAAACCTCGCCCTGCTTCCCACGGCTCCCCCCTCGGTCGAACCTAAGGAAATGCTCATTTATATGAATTTGTACCTACAACTAACTAGTTACGGTTCTCGGCCCACGCTCTTTGACTACATGTGATAAGACTTCGCGTCGGCAATGCAATTCCCGGAATATATGGTGGTATTATGTCCATATATCTCTTCAGATTGTGTTCATCGAATCAGAATGATCGAGCAAAGTCATTAGCGATCCTCACCGAATGGATGATTAAACTTCAGCAATCCGTTGAGACCACCCACCCAGCCATCATGCGCCTCCCCACCGGTGATCCTCCGCATTACACATGGCACTCCCCCCTGCCATTCATTCTTGCCGTGCCGCATCTCCTCATTCCACACCCGCGCTTCCATCCCCGCAGTCATCCCTTGACCCATGTTCACCCCATCAATGCTCACCTCTAACTCGCGGCCGCGGTTCTTCTCGCTCAGACGGAGCGTGATCGGTGTACTCGACGGCAGCACCAATGGCCGGAAGCTCAAGCTTCGGGCGCAGATCGGGGTTAAAAGTACAGCAGGGACAAGAGGGTGCACGATACTACCTCCACTACTCAGGCTGTACGCTGTGCTTCCGGTTGGCGTCGAGATGATGATCCCGTCGGCTACAGCTTCCGTCAAGAAGCGTCCACCAACGTAGACATCTACCACAGCCAAATGCGGCTCCTTACCACGATGCAGCAGGACTTCGTTCATGACATACAGTCCCCGACGATCCCAGATTCCTGGCACAGAATTCGCTGATGCTTCTTGCCGAACTGGCTGTCCATCCGCTGTGAAAAGTCCCACCTTCAGTCGGTTGCGCATCAGTATCCGAGCTCCGCGCGTCAGACCCATCGACTTGCCCCGTACCGATGACCAGCCCGTTGGGCCCACGTCTAGGTCTAGTGGCTCATCATGAATCGTCGGCCGCACCTCGCCTAGCACGGTTGCACGATCTCCTACCCCCGCCCCAGACATGTAGACCTCCCGGAATGCGCGCTTATACTCGGGAAACTTCCATTCACTGAGAAACCCAAGCGTGCCCATGCTGAAGGATAACATCGGGGGTACATTGTAGCACGTCGCGAAAAGCGATGAAGCATGTAAGATAGTTCCATCTCCTCCCAGGGTAACGGTAAGATCTACTTTGTTGTGTAGTGCCGGTCGAAGGCGATCCAGGGACGTCGTGTAAGCCGGGGCGTGCAGCGATGCATGAACTTCTTCGGCAACTTTGGGTTCAAGGATGATCGATATTGAAGGATACGTAGATGTCGCATGACTAGAATGCTCGCGGAGGTTAGTATGGATCAGTTTCCCTCTCAATTGCACGACAAAAGGCCGAAGGACGGATATCGTACTTGGCAAATTCAACAAGGGATTCTGTTACTGCCGGGACACAATCTTTTTTCACAACAAGGATGTTGCGTGGCGGCGCCGGCCATTGCAGGGACAGGAGATCGCCTACTTGCGATTCTAATTGAGTATATCCCGAGTCAGTGATCATGCACACACACCGTACTATATTGACGCACACCTTGATATCCTGGTATTACTCGCTGTGGTAGTGTGCCAAGCTCTTTGATCTCGTGTCGCTGCGAAGTTAAGGAGAAGCTTCGCATCCATGAGAGCTGGCCAGGGAATCTGGTCCGGAGGGACGGGACTCGGAAAATCGTGGAACGCATATCAAAGGGAAGTATGCCTTGAAAAGACCAAGAGCATCCTGGGAAGCGGTGCTTCAATTAGCATCATAGTGAGATGGAAGAGAAAGGCACAATCACTCTAGATAAATAGATTCATTGCTCCGAGGCAGCATCTGCGGAAACCATGTACTATACAATTGCCAAAGGACCAGGTTTTCATAGATGATACATTCTCCGTTGTAGGTCGGCTATATCTTCCCTGGAATATTCGGGTTGGAAGGGACACCAAACACACGAATGGCTGCAGGAGACAATGGGACAAGAAATCATAGATTCAGATTGGGAGGGGGGAAGGGAAAAAGAAAGTATTGAGTTGCAGTGTCCCCGGACTCGGCGTTCGTAGACCGCCCGCGGTCGGAGAGTCTGACGTATTGACAATATGTCAATAGTTCGAATACGGATACGGTAGAGTGAAGTACTTGACTTAACTACGCGCAAGTTACACAGTGAATACAGTTTGGGTTATGTCATCCCTCAGCTTTCCCCTTCCAGTGATTCACGGAACTGCTGAGGCTCCCGTATAAATACCTAGGATTGGCGGTTTCCCATAACGTTACAACCCCAGAGACGAGGAACCACCGCCTTTCTTTTGCTGGTTTGAGCACCAGGCTATTCTGGTCTGTAATTTATACTTTCTTGTTGGATTCTTCCATGCCATCATTGAGAGACTTTGAAACTTGGAGGCATCCTGGGCTTCGTCCTTGGATTTATTTCTAGCCCTGAGCGGGCCTGTTTCTCTTAGTGAGTTTGAGTCGACACCGCTTTTCTTCACTCGCCATAGCTATTTGTTGTACAGCTTAGCCCGCGTGACCATGGGGAGGGAATGCTGACCTGGAATCATAAACCTCAGGTTATCCCGACCATAAAACTCCTACTGTCCAGGCAAGATCCCTGGTTGTCCATCCTCAGCTTGTGCCATCATGGAACACGATCTTCGTCAGCGGAAGCATGTGAATGCGACAGCTTCTTCTGTGAGCAATAAGTCTCATGCTTATACTGATGCTGAGCCACGACTAAAGCATGGCCTTGCCATGCAAATCTTTCGCTCCCTCTTGCTCGCAACATGGTTCAACTGCTGTTGCGTCGCCATCTTAGCAACACAAGTCATTGGTTCCCCGCTCTATCTGATCAGCAAGGATTATTACTATGCGTACATGGCGTACACCAAGCAATCGTTTGGACTAGTGATCACGGCTCTTACACAGTGGGGTTGTCCAACAGTCGTGCGCGTTAGCGGAGACAAGAGTGTGCGGAACCAGATTCACTTGGCGGATGATGGACGGCTAAGAACAGACTTCCCAGAGCGACTTGTGATGATCGCTAATCACCAGGTTTATACGGACTGGATTTATTTGTGGTGGGTCGCATATACGAACCGAATGCACGGTCGCATCTTTATTATATTGAAAGAATCCCTTAAATACATCCCCATCATCGGCCAGGGTATGACTTTCTATGGCTTCATCTTTATGGCTCGGAAGTGGCTGTCGGACAAGCCACGGCTTCAACATCGCCTGGAGAAGTTGAAGACGCAACACTCGGGATCTCAGTCGAGTTCGCCACAGTATGATCCCATGTGGCTGCTGATCTTTCCCGAGGGAACGAATCTGTCGATAAATACCAAACGACGGAGCGCAGAATACGCGGCGAAACAAGGGCTTCCAACTCTGAAACATCAGATTATTCCCCGGTCGACTGGCCTCTTCTTCTGCCTGCAGCAACTGCGGGGCACTGTTGAATGGGTTTATGACTGCACTGTAGCCTACGAAGGACCACCGTAAGTGACCTGGCTATTCCATACTTCCTTCACAAGCTCTAATCAACTCTGTTGATTCGTGCAGAAAAGGTAGCTTACCCGACAAGTACTTCACGCTTCGGTCAACGTATTTGCAAGGTCGACCACCAACCTCTGTTAATATGCATTGGAGACGCTTTGCGGTAGCGGACATTCCACTTGACGATCAAAGCGAGTTTGATGCCTGGATCCGAGCTCGCTGGGCCGAGAAGGACCAGCTTTTGGATGAATGCTTTGAGACCGGCCGATTCCCAACCGAATTGGGAGGCTCTATTGTTGTTGGCACTGGTACCCCAGAGCAGACATCCGCGGCAGCCACCGGATATGCCGAGACCCAGGTTCGACTGGGGCATTGGACTGAATTAGGCAGAATATTCATGGTATTGGTGGGCACTGCCTTACTGTGCAGGTTACCTAGGCTATTCGGTCTGTTTTGAGGCCGTCAAATGGAGCATTGCAGTAAGAGGAGTAACCAACTCGGTCGGCAATCCTATACATTATCATGATATGAAGCGATGCACTAAGAGCCATGACTTCTTTCCTACTCTTATACTTACTTGACGACATGATGAGCATTATTAGTGTACTGGACCCGGCATCATGTAGTGCTAGTTATCAGTCCATGCTTAACAGACGTTGATGCATTATATGTTAATATGACCAAACTGAGAGTAAATTTAGAGACCAACCAGTGACTGGTGTGACATCTCATGAGTTGAGAGTAACTTGACTACGCCAGGCCGACCCTAGCCACATCCCGTGTGGCGGTGCTACCTTTCCAGCCTCAGTTCCCGTCTGTCTCCAACTCTATTCCATCCAACCCTGATCAGGTATTAATCCTCGACTTGACCAAACCTCCGATACGCGAGCGACCAACTACTCACGTGTCCAGCGTCTCCATTGCTATTGCGACTCGAAAACGCTCCTCGAAAGTGCTCTTCTTGCTTGTTTGTTCAGGCAAAAGAACCTCCTCCGCGCTGCCCGTTCAAGCTACCGAGTCGACTCCGAACATGACATGAGCTGAGCTGTGTCTCTCCTAAATCAAGCACCTTTCGCCTTCTTTGATCTTTCTCCACCACACCCTGCCTACCGGGGCATTGCTTATCCCAAAGCTATGGCGTCTTCCCATAATGGCCACGCCAATGGCACCAACGGCGACTCCCTACCGGCTACGAAATCGCTAGCCAACCTTCGCTTTTCCGACATTCCTTCTGCGATCGATATTCCCGCGTCGACACTTGACAGTGAAGTTGAGGTCAGCCTTGAAGTTCTTCCCGACGATCCTACCGAGCTGTGCACGCTCTTGGAGAATGAGAAAGCCGCCAAAAACTTCTGGGTGACTATCGCGCTCGCGTACGCCAAACAAAACCAACTCGATCATGCGATCGACATCCTCAACAAAGGGTTGGCCTCCGTCGGACACGGGGCGATCAAGGAGAAACTTGGGCTTTTGAGTTGGGTCTGCTGGCTGTTGATGCTTAAGTGTCGGCAAGCGCCTCGTGTCTTGAACGACTCCGAAATATACACAGATTCTAAGACCAAGGACTACTACCTACAACAAGCGACATCTACACTGAATGAGGCCTCGCGACTAAATCCAGCTTTCCCCCCGCTGTTTCTGGCGCGCGGTGTTCTGTCACTCTTGCGCGCGTCGATGCAGCCTCTGCGACCCACGCGCACTGGCGGTATCGATACCTCTGAGCGGGCCGAGTCGTTACGCCAGGCACTTAAGTGCTTTGATGAGTCGTCCAAAGCTTTTGGTGGTCGCAATGCAATGGCGATTCTTGGCCATGCACGTGCGCAGTATATGTTGGGTCGCTATGCAGAAGCATTAGAAGGGTATCAGAAAGTATTAATGAGAATGCCTGGGCTACGGGATCCTGATCCCCGCATTGGTATCGGCTGTTGTCTGTGGCAATTGGGATTCAAGGAGCAGGCGAAAGCTGCCTGGGAGCGGGCGCTGGCATTGGTGAGTGGACCCCATCGCATGGTGGGCGAGAAGAATATCAGTCCTAACTCGTATACATCATTATAGAACCCCGATTCAAAAGTTGCCAACATTCTCCTTGCAGTCTACTATTTATACGACAGCTCTCGGCACTCCACCACAGACCCTGCCTTTGGTTCCCTGTACAAAGTCGCCATGACACAGTACACGCAGAAAGCATTCAAATTGGACAAAGAGTATCCGATGACATGCGCTCTGTTTGGCAGCTACTTCCTTCTACGCAAATCATATAGCACCGTTGAGAGTCTGGCCCGCAAAGCTATTCAACAGACGGACGTGATGCCGATTGCCAGTGATGGTTGGTATTTGCTTGGTCGAAAAGCACACTATGAAGGCGACCTCGGTCACGCAGCGGAGTATTACAATCGAGCGGATCAGGCCCGCGGTGGCGAAAACGGCTATCTTCCTGCCAAACTAGGTAGTATACAAATGCAGGTTTCCAGCAGCAAAGATTTCGATGGAGCCAAGTTCCGGCTGGAGAAGATCATTCAACAGACCAAGAACCCTGAGAGTATGATTTTGCTCGGTGCCCTCTACGCGGAGGAAGTGTTCGCAGCCAATAGCAAAGACGACAAGTCTGCCGAAGTGAAGAAAGCTATCGGGCTTCTGGAGTCTGTCCGTGCGCTCTGGAAGGACGAGAACAAGAAGATCCTGCCCGATGAGTCAGTCTTGGTGTATCTGTCCCGCCTGTATGAACAGACCGCCCCCGAAAAGAGCATGCAATGCCTCACCCAGCTGGAGGAAATGCAACTCGCGGAGATCCCTGAAGAGGAACGCCCCGGAGGAGTAGAGGACGCGGAGCAGATCAAGGTTGCGCTTCGCAAACAGCTACCTCCGCAGTTACTCAACAACATGGGCTGCTTTTTGTATCAAGCTGAGAAGATCGAGTTGGCTCGGACTATGTTTCAATCAGCGCTGGACGCCTGCGTCAAGTCCCAGGAGAAGGAGAGTGAGCTCGACATCGACGCCCTGGTGACCACCATCAGCTACAATCTGGGTCGCACTTATGAGGCGGCCGACATGCCAGACGATGCCAAGAAGGTATATGGAGGCTTACTGGAGCGTCACGCCGACTACACAGAAGCTAACGCGCGATTGACATACATCGCTCTGCGC